TGGGAAGCCCAATCTCCCAGACGTACCATGACCAGCAACCTTACAAGCAAACCTTGAATAGAGTAACTTCCATGTAGGTTGGACTTACATACCAAATTTTATTTTCAGAACTCCCTTTCTTCTTCATGTCTTTTTATTATTAATTATTTTTATTTTATGTGTATGAGTGTATTGCCTGCAAGTACGTAAGTGTACCTGTGTCCTGCAATGGCCAAAGAGGTCAGAAGAAGGCATCAAATCCCCTGGAACTAGAGTTTTGGACAGTTGTTAGCTGTCATGTGGGTGCTGTGAATCGAAACTGGGTCCTCTGCAAGAACAGCCAGTGCTTTTCTTTAAAAAAAAAAATTTATTATTTTTATTTTATGTGTATGTGTGTATTGCCTGCATGTAGGTAAGTGCACCTGTGCTATGCAATGCCCAAGGAGGACAGGAGATGCCGTCAGATCCCCTGGAACTGGTGTTACGGACAGTTGTTAGCTGCCATGTGGGTGCTGGGGTTCAAACCTAGGTCTTCTGCAAGAACAGCCAGTGCTCTTAACTGCTGAGCCATCTCTCCAGCCCCAGTGTCCTCATGTCTCTACTTGTCAAAGCCTATCCTGCCCATCTTTTTTTTTTTTTTTTTTCTCCAGAGACAGGGTCTCCCTGTAGCCCCAGCTGGCCTGGAACTTACTATGTAAACGAGGCTGGCTTTGATCTCACAAAGATCCACCTGCCTCTGCCTCCTGAGTTCTAGGATTGATTAAAGGCCTGCGTTTCCACACTCTGATAACTTTTAGAGCTGCACCCCACCACCAATGTGCATGCCAACCCCTGGTTTGTTTTACTCTACAATGCATATCACCTGCTAAAGCATTATTTATTATTTATGTTTATTTTCAGTCACTCAGGATCCCATACCCTTTAGAAAGAAAGTTCCATGACAGAGACCTTTTCTTTTTTTTTTTTTTGGTTTTTTTGAGACAAGGTCTCCCTGTAGCCGCAGCTGGCCTGGATTTGCTAATGGAGACCAGGCTGGCCTCACAGAGATCCACCTGCTTCTGCCTCCCGAGTGCTGGGATTAAAGGCATGTGCCAACACGCTGGGTTAGAGACCTTTGCTTTAAGAACTATGCTCAGGCTCTAGAACTATGCTGGGCACACAAGAAACAATAAGAAGTTGATGATCAAACAGATGGGCAGGCTAGAGATTAGCTAGGCATGGTTTTCCCATCGACTCTTAACAGTGTTGGGGTGGAGTCCTCAGCCAACTTCCCTATCCTGTTCTCAAGACTCAGCCAAGACCTTTTGAATGTTATGTCTGGCATTCTCTAGAGATACTTTTCCTAGACTGAGGCTCCAGGACACCCAACTCCCTGGCAAAGAGTATCCCAGAATAATATTATTAAATATTAATACTATTTACTAGTGCCAAATAGATCTGGGCCCAGATGTCCCCTTCATCAAACCCTGGGAACACGGAGCCAAGTGCCTCAAGAGCTGTCTCTACTGAATTCCTGAAGGGTAGAGTCAGGTACCTCTCAGCTTCCCCGTCCCCACGCCTAACAGAGCCTCTCCTAGCTCAAGAATTCCATCCTGTTTCTTGGGAAGGAGTGGAATGACTCTTCAAAGGACCAGTTTCCTCTAAGGCAGGGCACAGAGAGAATGCCACCCCAGAGAAAGCAGGTACAGCCATAGGGCATGGTCAGGGAGGGTTTCCCTGGCATCCCTAGGGAGCCAGGACTGGGGAGAACAGGTAGCACAGGTGGCTCTGATGGGCAACACCCATCTCTTGGTCTGTACCCTGCCCAAACTGTGCCTGAGCAGAGGAAAACAAAGTTGTCTAGCAGATCTGGCATGCCTCAGCCCAGGAGGAGTGCAATATCAGTATCACTAGGAGAGATAAGGCCTCTCAGAGCTGATGTGCTAAGGATACAACTCCGTCTAGCCACAAGTAAGCCACTTTGGAGAGATGCATCAGCTTCCTCAGCCACATCAGCAGCGCCCAACTCAGGTATCTCAACAGCTGCTCCTGATTCTCCTTGAAAGACCAGGAAACTAAGCCTTCCCTACAAGGCCCCAGAGGATATTGTTGAAGAATAGTAGGGGGTCAACAGGCTGACGGCAAAGGTTCCAAACCTTCCAGCTCCATGCACTGCTTCCCCAACACCCATGGGAGGGGATAATGGGGACAAGGGACCCTAGTGAGAATGGACATCTTTACTGAAATGTGACTGAAGGGGACACCGTCTCTTGAACAAGAGTGGCAGAGAACAGAACAAATCAGATTCTGCACTTAGATACACTACACATACCGGATGGAGTCCATCAGCCCTCAACCCTGGCTCTCCCAAGGACTAAGGGAAGAAATTGGAGTCAAGGGAACAGGATGTCAGGCTAGCAAAGGTCAATGCCCCTTACTCCTGATGCATGACCTAATGGAAAAAGTTCTGACCTCCAGAGACTTCCAAAGTCGCAAAATCATGACCCCTCTGCTGATTTTGCAAATTTCCTGTCTTCTAGGTGCTTCCAAACGGCCCTGGTGTCTTACCTCTAAAAGCCTGCATGAGACTAATTGGTGCTATTTTACCCTCCTGGAGAAGCTAACAAATTCTGGGATGTTGAATGCCTGCTATGTACTAGGTCACATGTGCTAATAATGATGCTTTCACCTTCTGAACAACCTCTGGGAAAATCAGGCTCAGCATGGTTAAGCAACAAACCTAAGGTTACATAGCAAGACCTCTGCAAGGCAGGATTCAAAGCCACCTGATATCCAGGAATGTTTTCAGGCACTGTGAAGACACACTGTCAGGCAAAAGGGAGATTCTTTATCTGTCCCACTTTTCACTTTCTAAAATCATTCATTTTTCTCATAATGGACTCCCCCAGCCCTGCTTTTTTTTTTAATTATTAAAAAAAAGTATGTATATGAGTGTTTTGCCTGCCTGCATGTATGTACCATATGGGAACTAGAATTACAGATAGTGTGAGCCACCATGTGGGTGCTGAGAACCGAACCTGGTTCCCAAGAAAGAGCGGCAAGCGCTCTTAACCACTGAGCTATCTCTCCAGCCCCACCCTTTTTATTTTCTGTTTTTTATTTATTTTATGTGTATGACTGTTTTACCTGCATATCTGTAAGGACACCCATGTCCTGCAGTGTCTGTGGAGGTCAGAAGAGAGCCTTGCATTCCCTGGGAACTGGAGTTTTGGATCATCGTTAGCCACCACGTGGGTGCTAGGAACCAAACCTGGGTCCTCTGGAAGAATAGCCAGTGCTCTTAAGTGCTGAGCCATCTCTCCAGGGTACCCCCCCATCCTTTTTTCTGTGTGTGTGTGCGTGTGTGTGTGTGTGTGTGTGTGTGTGTGTGTGTAAGATAAGGTCTCACTATGTAACGTAGTTCTGACTGGCTTGAAACTTGCTATGTAGACCTCAAACTTCCACCTGTGAGCTGGGATAAAGAACAGTCTTGCCATCTAGCCCTGTTTGGCCTCAGGTCCATGGCAGTCATCCTGCCTCAGTCTCTGGAGTGTTGGGATTATGGGTGTGAGCCACAACACTTAGCTCCTCGTCTGTTTTTTTAAATGAATGGGGATCATTTGAACCTTTTCTTCCTTTAATACTGTCGTTTATTAAAGACTAAGTATTTAGGGCTGATTAGATGGCTTGGGGGTAAAGGCGCCTGCCACCAATTTTGAAAACCTGAATTTGATTCCCTAGGACATATGGATGGTAGAAGGAAAGAACTACTGAAAGTTGTCCTCTGACCCACACCCCCCCACACACATACAAATTTAAATACAATAAAAAAGACTAAGTATTTTAATATGATTTAAATTATATTAATCTGTCACTGAAGGGGATCCTCCACTGCCTCAAGTAGAGATGCAGATTGACCCCAGGTCCTGGATATGTTCTCCAGGTACTGACCCAAGCTAACTTCAAAGAACAGGAAGAGCTCTGGTCAGAGCAGCAAGAGCTTGGTTTGAGTCCTGTCAAATGTTCTGTGGGTAGATGACTTAAGAAAACGAACTCAACTACCCTGCCCATAAAGTAGAAACATCTCTCGTGCCTTCCGGTCCACCGGCTCACACCGAACCAGACAATCTTCCTCAAAAGCCACTCTGACCTTGCTTTCCCCTGGGAGGGACATGCGTTTCCTAGTCACTCTGACATACCTATTCTCTTCCTGCTCAGAATGGCCTCTTGCAGAGAGAGGGTCCCAGAGGCCAAGTTAAGTCAGCCTGCCTCGACCTATGGGGTCGCCAGGGGAAGGAGTTCAAGCCCCGCCCTCCTTTCTCGACGCTTACCTGTTTCGGTGAGAGCCTCTAAAGAGTACATCACGGCTACCCTAGTTATGGTCAGTTCTCAGAGCTAAGGCCCAACGTGTCCATCAACCATCCAACCAGTGTAAAGTAAAGCACATTTTCTTTGGAAAGAATTTTCCACTCCTTGCCAAGTTCCACAGTGCAACCCCCACCCGTCAGCGTGCAAAACAGACTAAGTCTCAGTACTCGGTCTAAAGGTGTCCGAAGCCGCCCCAAAAGCCAGGTTACCAGGTCCCACCCGCAGACTTCCTCCGTCGGAGGATTAGAAGGCACAAAGGGCGGGCACCCAGAGGGCTGAGGTAGGGGATAAGCCGCCAAGGTAACGCGCTCCGGACGCCGCTCGAGGATTCGGGGTCCCGGGAGCTCTGGTCCAGGCGCCTGGCACGAGGGCCCGGGACTCCGTCTCCGCGCACGGCGTCCCCCGCACCCAGCCCCACCAGGCACCTGTTCCCTACTCCCGAAAGCCAGCGGGATTGTGTAAACCCCAAGTCCCAAGTTTGGTCATCCGGGGCGGATCAGGAAGAGAAGTTCCCAGCGCGACTTTCCGCAGGTGTCTTGCTTCGAGACGAGCGCAACGTCTGGGATGAGGGTAAGGCGGGCACGCCAGGGGCGCCCAGGGGTCCCGGCCCTCGCACGCCTCCCCGTCCCGAGTGGCCCGCATCCCTGAAAGGCACGCAGCGCAGGGCAGCTCACCTGCAAGCCCAGGCCGGCCCCTGCCCCCGGCCTCGGCGTCCGGATCCTCTCGCTCCACCACGACCGCCCACCGGCTGCTGAGCCGAGGTCGCCTTCCTGCTCACCTCCGGCGCGGCGGGCGGGGTGCGGAGCAGCCGCTATTTACATAAAGGGCGAGCCTGCTCCGCCGGCGGGGGCCCGCCCCCCGGCCCCCCCCAGGCCCCCCCCCCCCCCCGGCGGCCCGGCGGGGGGGGGGGGGGGCGGACCAGCCGCTATTTACATAAAGGGCGAGCCTGCTCCGCCGGCGGAGCCCAGCTCCCGGCCCCGCCTAAGGCCCCGCCCCCCTCAGGCTGAGCCGACGGGGCGGGGCGCGGCCCGCCCTGGAGAGTTGGTACCTCGCCCGAGCCAATGCGCAGCCCAGGAGCGCCGGGTTGGGCGGCGGTCTTCGAAGGTGCTCGCGGCCCCGCCCCGTGCTCACCTGCGCGCACCTGGCCGCAGTTCCACTCGCCGCGCCTAGTGTCCCGCCGCCCCCTGCAGGAAGTAGTTCCCGGAACGCGGGGCAGGCCACGGTCCCTCCCAGGATTCACCCCGGGCCGTCGAGGGAGGGACAAAACTGGGAGCGCTCCACTCGAGAGCGCTCAGACCGGAGAGAAGGACCGGTGCGCATTGGTTTCAGGACGTAAGAGCTGGGCGGCAGGGGAAAGGGCGGGACCCCCTCTTCCCTCTCCAAAGGAACCCATAGGTCCCACGAGCCAGTCACAGCGGCTGGAGTTTTCAGCCAAGACTAGGACTGGAGTAAAGAGAGGTGAGCAGAAGGTACTCCGGGGCATCTCCTGGTGGCCCCTTGAGTGTCTGGTCCGGTCCACACCGGCCTGGGCCTTTCAGCCACCCTCCTACCACCACGCAGCTGCACTCGGGGAAGGACACAGGACGCTGCTCTGTCTCCTAGGATATCTCATCCACCCCCTTCTGTGTTTAGAGGTCGCAGTCATACCCTCCCACGTCCAACAAAGAAGGCAGCTCTTCCAGAGTGGGCAGAGCAGCAAAGAGTGAAGGGGTGGTCCAGTAAATATACCCAGCCACAGCAGAAAAAAAAGACATCTATTTTAATGGCTTTGGTTTATGGCACGAAGCGGGCACCCTCCTGTTTAAAGGCACAGAGTCCTCTACCCCACCTTCCAGACCTCTGAAATTTAAGTCTTGAGTTCCAAGGGGTGGCTGTGCTCTCAGGCCTGAGGCTTGCAAGTGCACCAGCCAGGCAAGAGGGCATGGAGCAGGATTTCACTTCCTCCAAGTAGCAGGCACCCAGGGCCAAGGTCTTCAGCTCCAGGTGAGTTTCATACAGGAGACAGCTGACATGGTCCCTGAGAGCACTCCCAAGTTCCCCAGAGCAAGGCCCACCCACCCTCAGAGCTATATGGTCAGTGCTGCAGATCCACAGGTATTGTGAAGTCTCTGAAGCTATAGAAAGAGATGTCACCATGATCCACTAGGGCAAAGATTAGGGGAACATCCCCACTCAGGTAGGACAATCGCTTGAGGGTGCAGAGGTCCGGGACGGGCTCATCAAATCTGTAGGGATAAGGGTTAGACTGAGACCTGGTCATAGCCCACCCCTAGAGACAATTCCCCAGGCCCCCTGAGGCTCTCAGGGAAGGGAGGTTCTAAGTTGAGTTGAGGGGTGGAGGTAGAATTCTGGCCCTTGCACTCTGGTCTGCAAACTCCAGAGAGCTCCAGAATCCTGGTGAATTCATGCCAGTACTCAGCCTGCCAATACCTCCAAATCAGTTCCTTTCTGCTGGGAGATTAAGGAATAGCGGAGACTACCCCAAAATGCCAGTAACAGGAGACGAGGGCTGGGGAGCTTGGGTTTCCATGGCACTAACTGGCCATGTGGCCTTATGTAGTCACAACCCCTCTGGCCCTCAAGACTCTTCTCAGGGATTGGTGGTGGGGATGTTGGCAGCAGCCCAGGGAAAGCGCTCACTCCTCTCGTACCCACTAATGCACATTCGGGCATAGGGTTTGCCAGGGTTGTTTTTTCGGAATGTGGCCACAGCGTCAGCTTGATAAACTTCAAAGCTGATCTCCAAGCCTCCAGAGTTCAGCAGCCTGAGAACCGAATGAGAAACTTTAAGACAAGGACTCTCCTCTCCCACCTCTCCTCTGCACTAAACCCTTTCCCACCTAGGGGTTATACCCACCTGTCCTTCCTCCCTTTCCCCTAGACATGACTGGCTGTCCACTGGAAGCTAAGGTGGATAGGTATCCCTGGGGTGACCCTGACTCTCACCCAACTCCAGGAATCAAATCCCAGCTGTCACTCCAGCTAGCAGCAAGCTTCATTGGAGATACAGGGCACAGCTGTGAGACTTACCGGGCGCCTCCATCAGCAAGGTGTGTTGTCTGCAGCACAGAGATTTGCTGAAGGACCATGGCTACAAGAACAGTGAAAACAAGATGCGTAGGGGTGGGGGTCAACTTTTTTTGTTTTCTGTCTTTTTTTGAAGCAGGGTCTCCCTGTAGCCCCAGCTGTCCTGGAACTCACTATGTAGCATAGACCAGGCTGGCCTTGAACTCACAGAGATCGCCTGCCTTGCCTCCCAAGACCTGGGATTAAAGGCGTGCACCAAAACCCTCAGCCCGGGGGTCAACTTTTTATATACTCCCTTGGCAGTGCCAAATCTGCTACCTAGTTGAGGATTACCAGATCTACCAAAATGTGTTTAATGTTCCACAAGGTATTTAGAACACATTTCTCTGGTAACCCTACTCTAGTTACCCACAATTTACCATGTTCCCATGATGCCTTTAAGCAGTTTTGAATCTCACTACATTCCTCTTGGCCTATTAGCCCCTGTGTTAAAACCAAGACCAGACAGTGAGCTTTCCTCTTATTTGGCCAAAATCTCTCCTTTTGGTGTCACTAAGTTCCAGCTAACAGGCTTGGGAGGGGAGGGGTTCATAGCACATTCGTAGCAAAGCCATCCTGGTTATCTTGGGTGTGGTCTTAAGGATGCAGGGATGGTTTTCACCTGGGCACTGATTCATCAGGAAACCATCCCCCGTGTTCTCTGCTGTGGCTGCTGCCACCATCCACAGAACTGAGCATCCGTGTGAGCTCCATTCCACAGGACAGTTCCCACATCTTGGGCCTCAACCAGCCTTTGCCAATCCATTCCCTTTCAAAAGTCTTGGTCAAGCACGGTGCCACATGACTTTAATTCCAACACTCAGGAGGCAGAGGCAGGTGGATCTCTGTAAGATGGAGGCCATCCTGGTCTAAGTTGCAAGTTCCAAGTCAGCTGGGGCTACAAGAAGAGACCCTATCTCAAAAAAAAAAAAAAAGTCTCATGATCAGTGCTACCAATGGTCTACAAAGTATAGCAGGGTTGACGGTACCTGCGGAGTCTGCTTTGTCAGGGTCCAGCAAAGGGGTGACAGGCTGGGCCCAAAGATGTGGGGGGCGGGGCTGGCTCCTTTGCAGCTGTCGTCTCTGCAGTAGCTCTTTATACTCCCGCCAGCTGGAGCAGCCCTGCACCTCAGGATCTGCGTTCACATCCTCCCGGAATTGCTGGGCCTCTGCTGCTTGTTCTCGGTCCCGCCGGGTGAGCTTCTCCTTCCGCTGGTTCAGCTTCTGGCACCAGGACTCAGCATCTGTCCCTCGCCCAATGACATTGGCTGGGAGCAGCTCTGGGGCTGGGGCAGGCAGGAGTGTGTGTCGGCCATCTGAAGCCATGTTGGGGAAGGAGATCTGTTCAAAGTTCCACCGTGGCTTTGAAGGCCCCTTGGCTCCATTCTCTACTTGGTCACTCTCCTGACCACACCCCATATCCTCCCTGGCCAGATCAAGGCAAGGGTCTAAGGACCCCAGAAGCTGCAAGGGGAGGCCTGGGCCCTTCCTGGGGCTTGACTCCTGGGGTTTCTCCTGTGGGTACTGGCTGTTCTGGTTGCAGGTAGGTGGGCTGGAGGATGTCAGGCAGTTCTCCAGGGCCTTGGCCTTCTTATAAACAGACCTTAGAAACAGAAGGAAAAGCAGCACATTTGCCCCTCATCACTGAGACTGTCCCACTGGAGCTGAGGAGCAGGTCACCTGCTGTCTCCCTGAGCCTATTCAAGAGTCAAGGCCTCTCTTAAGCCCATGCACTAGCTGAGGTCTCCCCAGCACCAGCACTCCCTTGCAGGGAGCATTACCGACAGCTGGAACTCCTCTTCCTCTTGCCACTTCCATCTTCCAGACACTGGATGTAGCCATCCAAGTTAAGTTGCCTCTCGTAAGGGGACAGGACAGAACTGTGGGGTGAGAAAAGCAGGTGGGAAACACATCCACCTTCTCAGACTGGTGCTGTTGGCAGATTTGGGAGGGACTGGCCAAGAAGACAAGTCAGGGTCCAAATCAGAGCTATACCTAAGGGCTAAGGCTCCAAGCAGACCTGCAGAAGGGTACCTGGGAGCAGCTCAAGGGCCAAGTCATGTTCCTTTCCCCAGGTCCCTAGTGTCACCAATGGTATCCTGAACAGATGCTCCTCAAAGCTGGCAATACATGATTACTCAGGATGGAGGTACAGAGGTCCCTAGTGTCACCAATGGTATCCTGAACAGATGCTCCTCAAAGCTGGCAATACATGATTACTCAGGATGGAGGTACAGAGGTCCCTAGTGTCACCAATGGTATCCTGAACAGATGCTCCTCAAAGCTGGCAATACATGATTACTCAGGATGGAGGTACAGAGGTCCCTAGTGTCACCAATGGTATCCTGAACAGATGCTCTCAAAGCTGGCAATACATGATTACTCAGGATGGAGGTACAGAGGCAGAGCACTTACCTAGCATGTGTAAGTTTCTGGGTTCCACCCCCAGCACCACAAAAAAATAATCACTGGGGCGAAAAACCAAGAGCAACTTGAAAACTTGGAAGAAAAAATGAAAATAAAACCTTACATTCCCACTGGTAACATTTTTGTTTCTAATACACACATTAATCTTTTTTTTTTCCTTACAAAAATGACATTGTACTAACATACTGCTTTATGGTTTCTTTTTAATTTTATTTTTATGTGTACGTGTGTATTGCCTGCACGTAGGTTAAGTGCACCCATGTCATGCAGTGCCCACGGAGGACAGAAGAGGCTGTCAGATCCCCTGGAACTGGAGTTACGGACAGTTGTTAGCTGCTATGTGGGTGCTGGGATTTGAACCCGGGTCTTCTGTAAGAACAACCAGTGTTCTTAACTGCTGAGCCATCTCTCCAACCCCTATAATGTTTTTTTTTTTCCCACTCAATTATCAATTGTGGGCTCAGCCCCTTACTACTATCTTTCGCATTCTTCCCTGTTATGAGCGTGTGTGCCGGTGTGCATGAGGACAGAAGACAACCCTGAATGCTGTTCTTCAGGAGCCATCCACCTTGTTGAGATGGGGTCTCTTATTGGTCTAGAGCCCACTGATTAAGCTAGGCCATCTGGCCAGTGAACCCCAAGTAGCTACCTGGGGTTTCCACCTCCCCACTGCAAGGATTACAAGGGCACATATACCCTTATGTGGGTTCTGGGGGATTCAACTCCATTCCTCATGCTTGGGCAGTGACAGAACTGAGCCCCTGCTTTGAATTCTTTACGGCTCCCAAGGCTGCACTGTTCAGGTACAGTGGCCAATAGCCACAAGTATCTATTCAAGTTAAATCTAAGTCAATTAAAATTATGAAATGAAACCTTCAGTCCCATGGTTACAGAACCACACGTAGATTTTATGACTATGGGCAGCACTGCTCTAGAGATGAACCAGTCTGTATGAGTTGGCCTCCCACGCTGAGCTCAGAGGCTTTGCGAGTACACTGAATTTGCAAAGTGATGCTGTTTTGTGGGTATTCCTCACACATAAAAGGAGTGGAGGCTGCAATGTGGCTCTGTTATTCCTCAGCCATGTGTTCAGAGCGTGGCATATCAGTAAGTGGTCAATAATACTGCTAAGTGACTGAACATTCTCATGAGGGAACTTCTGCACACAGCCATGTGATGCCTGTTTCCCTAGGACAGAGTCCACATTCAGAAAGGCATGCCTGTTTTAGAGCTTTCAGGACACAGTGTATAACTGCAAAGGTTGTATCGGCTTCCACTGCAAGTATGAAGGTCCCTGTGGCTCTCAGCAATGTGACTACTAAGGTGATAAAGGGACAGCTATCCTAGCAAGAAATATGAAACCCAGCTCAACTGTTTAAGTGTATCTCAGTGCTCACAGTGAGCTGCAGGTGTCCAGTCATTATCTAAAGCTGGGTCCCAGTTTGACAACCCAGGAGAAAGTAAAGTGATGGGATTCAACCTCACATGCCTCTCTATTGACCACTTCTAGCTCAGGCCCAGGGAGCTGCCCTCTAGCCAACGGTTCCAAGTCACTAGATGCCCCTTTCCTCCTGAGGATAGTCAGCCTGGTCCCAGGCCTGTAGTGAATGGGAATGGGAGGGAGAGGGACTTACTTTGGTTGGAATCGACGAACCACATAGCCCAGTCTCTTCAGGTGGCTGAAGACCTCAAGAGAAGAAAAAGCAAAGCTTAGATTAGACGTTGGCTGCCCAGTCCTTTTTTCTGTTTTTGTCTTTTTGTTTTTTGAGACAGGGTCTCAAACTTGCAATGATTCTTCTCCCTCTGCCTCTAAGCACTATGATTACAACATGCACCACCATATCTAGCTTAGCTCACCATTCTTAAAAATAACATTTCCTCACCTTTTCCCATCTGTATACCTCCAGGTTCCAAACCTTGGGACTACTTGGACCATATTACTCCATTGTATATACCATTCTTGCCAGGCCTGGAGGCTAAGGCTTGTAGTCCCAGCTACCACGGAGGCTGAAACAGGAGGATCACAGCCAGCCTGGGCCACAGAATGAGATCAAGGCCAGGTCGTGCACTTAGCAAGCCCCTGTCTCAAAAAGTAAAAAGAGGGCAGAGGGCTAAAGCTCAGTGGTAACATGTTTACTGTAAATGAGCTGCTGGGAGCAATTCCCAATTCCCTGTATCACAAAACAAAAACAAAAGTTAAAAAAAGAAAACAAAAACCCCACCATCCTCCAAGTAAGATTTCACTCTCTGAATTCCTATCTCTTACTTTGGGCATAAGTAGCACACAGTAATTTCTTGACTTAACAGTGATGGACCAGGAAAAGAACTATGCCGTTGAATACACCGATATCAAAGTCTGGACAGAAGGACAGAAGGTATCCCTCCCCACATCAGGGTTGTTAGCTTATAGACCACCCATGTTTTCATCTCTAGTGTGGCCCTCTCCCCACATTCAAGGTTTATATATCTATTTTCTGCTTGAAATTCTGTTGGATGTCCAAAAAAATACCTCAAAATGAACTTTTGTGTTGGGGCTGGAGAGATGGGTCAGTGGTTAAGAGTAACTGCTGCTCTTTCAGAGGACCTGGGTTTGGTTCCCAGCACCCACATGGCAGCTAACAACTGTCCTTGACACTAGTTCCAGGGGATCCGACACCCTCTTCTGGCCTCCACAGGCTTTGCATGACGTGTGTATGCAGGCAAAACACTCATACACAAAAAATGAAAAGAAGTTTTTTAAATTAACTTTCGTGAAATCAAGCACTTCTGACTAGTTCCATTTTTCTGAGTAAGCTCTTCCCTCAGTCTTCCCCGTTAGAAGATGATATCAACATTTGATCACCGGTGCATTCCCATACCATGGACATAAGCCTTGGATTCTTCTCTCTCCTAGCCCTGGCATCCAATCCATTGGTAGCACCCCGCCTATTCCTTCTCCAAAACATTTATGAGATCTGTTTTGTTTTTTTTTTCCCCACTGACACAGTACTCCAACTTCCATCTTCTCTCAACCTGAAAGACTATTCTAGAATCCATCACTTCTCCTCCCTTACCTAGCACTTAATTCTCTATGAAGGCAATATGGCTTTTGTTGTTTGGTATTTTTGTCTTAAGACAGTTTCTTGGGGCTGGAGTGATGGCTCAGTGGTTAACAGCACTGACTGTTCTTCTAGAAGACCCAGGTTCGATTTCCAACACCTACAAGGTGGCTAACAACTGTCTGTAACTCCAGTTCCAGGAGATTCCAATGTCCTCTGAAGTAATTGCACAACATGGGTGCACTTACATACACGCAGGCAATAGTCTCATACACATTTAAAAAAAAAAAAGTTCATAATGTAACCCAGACTGGCTTCCAACTTGTGATCCTCCTGCCTCAGCTTCCTGAGTGCTAGAGTTCCAGGTGTGTGACCGTCCCTGACACTTGCCTACTTTTTACCATCCAGCTGCCTCTACTGGAATGTAAGCTTGTGTGAGCACAGGCTCTTGTCTATGTTACAGCCATAGCATGAGGCACGGTGCCTGGCACTTCAACGGTACTTAGTGCTATTCACTGACTCTACAAAAAGAGGCTCCTTGGGAGGCAGCAAGTACCTGGTACTGTAGAAAAGTCAAGGTGTCCTCCGTTAGCAGCAGCTGGTAGGCCTCCTGGATGGACAGCGGTAGGTCTTGGTAGAAGAGCTGAATAGAGCCCTGGAAGTGGGGCCAAGGGCTCTATTACGCACCCTTCCTGCAGTGCTAAATGGGGCAACTTCCTGGCTTGGACCCTCCGCATCCCCCACCACCAACACCTAGCATCACTGCACGAATAGGGTCAACAAAGAAAGGGGGTTGGAATCCCTGCTGCCTTTTCGTGTCCTCAGTTCTAGAAGTTCAAGTACAAGCTCACTGAAAACGTTCACTGCATTTTCGTCCAACAGTTTCCTCCCCATTCCTTAGTCTCCAGCCATATTGCACGCTCCGGGACCCCACTCACACACTCCAGCAGATACAAGGCCTCTTCGGGGTGAAGCCGCTGCCTGCCTTGTTCGGAGAAGCCCATGGTCTGCCAGAACTTTCCCTGCGTGGGACCCAGAGCAAGTGTCACAAAGGAGCTCCAAGCGCTGGAGAGAGGAGAGGGTCGTCCCGTGCCCCCCGCCCCCTGCAGAGCTCCCTGCTCACCGCAGGAGACTTCAACTCCACCACGCCCTCTTCCGGTCTCCACTCCGCGGCCACCAAGCTGCCCCTGGCGAGGAGTGGGGAGGGGACGTCTGGGTCGCGCTTTCAGTCCCGGCGTTCCCCCCCCGCAGCCCCGCCCACCCGGCCCCGCCCGGCTCACAGGCGCTCCACGCGCTCCTCGGCCAGCAGCTGCCAGAGCTCCTGGCGGCACAGGCGCAGCCGCTCGGCCTGGGCCTCTGAGCCGTCGGGGAGGAAGTCCTTGGGGCCATGCGAGCGCTGGGGCAGCTTCTGCGAGCGCGAGCGGGCGGCGCGGAGCTCCGAGGCACTGCGGGGAGGACGGGACCGCGGTCGGCACCCCGCGTCCAGGCCCGGCCTACCGCCGCACCCCCCCGCTCGCAGCCCCGCTCAGCCCACCCCGCCCCACCGCACCTGAGCACCCGCCCCGCAGGAACCTCCACCGTGCACGGCTCGGGTTCGGGCTCCATCCGGCCGCCGTCTGCGGCTGCGCGCGCACTGCGTGCCCCGCCCACCGCTGGGGCTCCGCGCGGTCCTAGCGCCGGCAACCCCCGACTCTCGGCACACCCCGGATTAACCCAGCCCGGCTTCCCGCCTGTCCTGGGTCCTAGCGCCGGCCTACAGCGCGTGGCTCCGTGCACCCCCAGCTCGCTTTGCAGGTTTCAACTGTGCAGAAACTCACCTGTTCTGTTCCCAGCCCTTCCGGGGTCCCTCTGTAGTACAACCTCACCTGGCGTTGTATGAATAATATGAATAATAAACGTGTGGCCCTCCTCTCCGCAGCCCTGAACTGCTTAGTCCTCCATCAGCCGTGGAAAGAGGTACTTAGAGAAGGGAGAGCTGTGTTCTCCAGTTACAGCTTTGCAAACCAGACAGTTCGGATTTCCTTCGGGGGAGGGGGCTCCGAAGCGGGGGTCAAAGGCACGGGGGGAGGGCTGGAGGGAGGGAGGCGCTGTCCGGCCCACGCCGGTGCTGAAGCACCACCCCAGCCTCCGACAGCACCTCCTCGAGTCTGGGGTCACTGCCGCGACACGGTGGATCGCTCCGACACTGACCACCAGGTGGCACCATTGCTCCAGCCAGCGGCCGAGCGTCGGTGATTGCGGCCACGGCGGGAGTTGGCAGCGGGTCCCGGGAGAGGAGGGACAAAGAGAAAGGGGGTCCCGTGCCAAGACGTCACGTCTTCTCTCCTCCCCAGCCGCATCTCATCCTCCGGTCTCCCCCTCCCCCTACTTCAGTGTCACCTGCGCGCATGCGCTGATCCGACCGGTGCTTTGGGTCCGGACTGGCTGGCCGGGGGCGGGGCCTGGAGAGGACAGGGGTGGGACCCAGGATGCTGATTGACAGCCCGACTTCGTGGCCGGGACAGTCTCCTGCTCCTGATCCGCCAGGAGGGAGAGGGGAGGGGCGGGATTTCCTGCGGGAGGCGCCGAGCCGGCCTCGGAAAGGAGGAGAAAGGGCTTGGGGGGGGGGTGTCCGTGGGAGCCTCCGTCCAGAGTACCGGGGACCGGGCAAGGCCAGCCGGACCCCCGGCGGGGCGGCAGGGAGAGGTGAGCCTGCGACGCCTGAGCCGGGGGGTCAGCACCCCGGGAACGGACGCAAACTAACTTTTCTTGTGCGATCGGCGGGAGCCTCCATCTCCCCGCTCCTTCCGTTTTCCTCGAGCCCCCTTTTCTTCGCACTCTGGCACCTATCCCCGCGACTCCCGGCCCTCCGGGTCCCCGGCGCCGCTTTGTTCCCAGGGTCTGCCCGGGCTGGGCTGGGGGAGTTGCGCGGCGCTGGAGGGGCATTCCGAGGGGCGGGGGAGCCCGCCGACCCCCAGGCACTGCCAGGAGCACCCTCCCCCAGTGCGGGGCTTCGAGGGGGAGTGCCCTCGGGCTTGGGCTTGCGACTTCTGGGGAACGTGGAGCTCCCCGCCTGGGCCCCAGGCCTGCGCGGGTCTCATGCCACAAGACTGGCAACCAGTTAACCGCCACCGAGGAACTGACGTAAGGTTTATCTGTAGTGAAGTCGAGGGTCGGGGCTTCAGGTTCAAGCTTGGGAGGCGGTTGGCTAGCTAGTAGTTACCAACTTTGTCTTGGTTCTCTGCCCAGCTGCTCTCTCACTCCACACAAGCAGCAAGGAAGGCTCAGCAACAGGTGTCCAACCGGTAGATCTCAGAAGATGGGGTGCATAAGCTCCCCAACTCCACTTTCTAAGTGGGGCTGGGGAATCTACTTATTAAAGTGAAACCTAGGTAGGGAGGGTTCTTGGGGAAGATACCTTGGACAGGGAATGACCCCTGCCCATCTGCCTGGGCCACTCTTCCCAGGCCCAACCTCTTGGCCCTTGCCAGTTGTCTGTGGGTGTCAGAGCCTGGGGCTGTGGAGAATGGGCTGCTGGCCCTGCCTACCCCAGTGTGTGGTGCTGCCAAGGCCCCTCCTGCCCAAGGTTGAGGTGCTGCCCAGTGCCCTGGGGCCCAAGCGACTCAGCCTCACCCTCCTAGAATGCCACCTCCCCTCTACAGGCACATACTCCTCTCAAACACAGCAGCTCTCTCCCCTCTCCAAGTGCTCAGACCGTCCATGATACCAAGGTGCTTGGGGTGGTTTGGGGGCTCCCTAAACCTATCTTGCTCATCTTCTGTGTCCTATTTTCTGGCCATGACCCAACCTTTCAACCGAGGCTCTGTATTTTTTCCAGACCTCCAAGACCTGTCCATTGCTGCCGCTCATGCCAGAGGGAATGCTGACTGCTCTCTGGGTGGGCATTGGTGCTTCTGAGCCAACCCAGGAAGATTGGTGGGCCTGGTCCCAGCCCATCCCAGGGCTGTCGGAAGCTGCAGGCTGATCTCCGTCCAGATTTCCACACAACCTCCACCCCCTCAGAGACTGGCTTTTCTGCTTGTGGTGGCAGCTCACAAAATACCTTGAGGGAGTATATCTGTGCCTAGGACTTCGGACGTGCTCCCCCAAGACCAGGACTCCACTAAGGGGCTGAGGCATGGCGCACTGACACTTGATTGGACCAGTTTCTTGCTTCTTGTTAGACTCCTTGGCCCAGAGCCTGGCCCACTAGCCAGGATGGGGCGTGAACAGGACCTGATCCTTGCTGTCAAGAATGGAGATGTGACCTGCGTGCAGAAACTGGTGGCCAAGGTTAAGGCTGCAAAAACAAGTGAGTACTTGGTGGGGTGACCATCCAGCTGAGGCTCTTCTCTGAGTACTGAGGCTATGGAGAGAGGTTCTGGGGGAGGGGGAGGGTCACTTTGATTTGCAGTCTTGAGGAAGAAGGACTATCCCAGGCTGGACAACAAGTGCTTCTGTGTAGAGAGCCAGAGAGGAAGCTAGGTCTCTTCTTGCTCTGTGTCTCTAGGCAAGTCACTTAATATTTCTGAGCCAGATTTCTTGCCTGCAAAGTGACAGAATTGAAGTGTATCCCATTTACACTTTTATTGTCTGTTGTGTGTCAGGTCCTGTTCTAAACTCTGTACCAGAGCAGTGGTTGAAACCACCCAAACTTCCAGCCGTTGAAACTGCCAGTTAGGAGGTAGCTTTTTCAGATGTGTTCCTTGGCATCGTGAGATTCCTGGCTATGGGCTGGGAAAGACTGAGTAGAACACCGTGACCAGACGCAACCTCATATACATACTTTAGTCAGAGCATCTTGGTATTTATGCCTGAACTTAATGAGGGTGTCTGTAAAAGATCTTTTTTAAAAAGAGAGGTGGTTTTTTGTTGGTGTTTGGTTGGTTGGCTTTTGGCCGTGCTAGAGTTGGAACCCAAGGCCTCACATATGCTGTGCAAGTGTTTTATCACTACAGCATATTCCTAGCCCCAAAAGAAAGCGATTTTCAAGAAAAATAAACACTATCTGTCCATTACTAAAGCTCCTTTCTTCCTAGCTTACCTGCTTGTGTCCCTGGGAGTGTGTGGCCTAAAGCTAATTTTCTAGAGGTTTCTACAGCCTAAGGACTCTAGTCATGACAGGACAAAGGGACCTGAATACATGATTGGCTACACCTAAGCCCCATCTCTTAGCTTCCCCCCTTCCCCCAGAGGAGACCTTTGGACTTAAGGGTGAACTCTCCAGGCTATCCCAGGAGACCACAGTGTTCAGAGTGTAGATCAACAGGTGGTCTTTACCACTAGTCTGGGGCCAGAGATTGTGTTCCCTGAGGGGAGGGTCTCCTCTAGAGCACTGGGGTTTTTAACCCCAAGATACGCCTGGGCCCTGTACATAGGAAGGAGTCCCGAGGCTACCTGGAGACATCTTATTATCCCCGCCCACACCTTGGAGTGTGGGGTGCCAAAAAGAAAGACTTTAATGGCTTGTACCCAACTGTACAACAGGGCAGAGACCCATGTGTGAGAGATGGAGGTCCCTGTGCCCTGGGGAAGTGGATGAGGTGGTCCTCCCAACTGTAAGGAAGGTGGTGGGGTGGTCCGCAGGGAGGGCCTGAAGGCCCAAGTGGGAGCTACTCTCCTCCCCCTCACCTCTGTTTCGCTTTTGGCCACCTGCCTGATAGGGCCTTGGTCACACTGCTGCTGGCCCCTCAGCCCTGCTGCCTCAGTGAGGCCCACTGGAGGGCAGTGGGAAGGATCAGAGGCTTGTGGTGGGAACCTCATAGCCAGGCTTGTAGGCTTCAGAAAGGTCTCCTATGTCCAGTGGCAGAAGTCTCTCTAGAGGAAAATGTCCCTTCCCTCAGTCCAAAGTGGGGGATTCCTTTATACAGGGTACAGGTACAGATACAGGGTTACAGGGTTACAGTACCGGTGCAGACCCGGGGTGACAGACCTGGGCCTGCTCATGAAGCCCTGGCACTGTGCCTCCCTTCTTTACCCTGAGAAGCCAGAGACGCTGGTGTCAAAAATGAGGTCACAGGTGACCTTTGTAAACCTGATGAGTTTATGAAATACTGTAACCCCCTTGCTACCCTGTCAGGAATTTCTGTATCCATTATACAGATAAGGAAAGTGACACTCAAAGGTTAGTGACTTGCCCAAGGTCACACAGCCCTTGTAGGTCAGATCAGAGATAAACCTGTGTGCTCTCCTCTGTTCCTATGCTAATCTCCACTGATTTCCATTCATATCAGAATTACCCAGGGATTGTTCTAAAATCATCAGAAAGCTTGGGACTCTGAGGTTGACAAAGTTCTTTAATTGATTCCAGTGCAATTCCCGGAGAAGGGGGGGTGCTGTGCCACACCAAAGGAAACTGCTAAAAGGGTGCTGGAAGTTTCTAGCAGGTGTCTGATGCTCCCTTCCCTCAGCTTCCTCTCTCTGATGTCCAACCTGCATACCTCCCCCTCCCAGGTCTACAGGAGCAGGTGGCTAGGAGCAATGCTGTTGTGCTGGCCTTGACCCTTCCTGCTGCCCCTCCCCACCTCCTTTTTCTGAGGTTCCCTTCCTTGGTCAGAGGAAATGGATGGGCTGGAGTGCCTGGCTGAGCTCATATCCTTTCCTTGGGCCTGAATCGGGGGTGACACTTCCAGCCCCAGGCCAGGCTGGGGAAGAAGGTTGTGCGGAAGCGCCTGGAGCCACTGCCAAGAACCAGGACCCTCCGCCCTCCCAACTGGGTCCTGGGCAGTTACTTTGGACCTCTCCTCCACCACCTTTCCGGCTATTGTTCTGGAAAGAACAGAGCCACCCAGCCTGGCCCTGCCCCTGTTCCTGCGTCCCTCCTGTCACTTTGTCCTGCCCCCCCCAGCACATCCAGCCACCCAGCTGCCTCATCCCAGTCTGTCCAGGCTGGCAGACTAGTGGAAGGGTGGATTGGCTGAAGAACGCTGGCTGTCTTTGGACCTTGTCTTCACTGAGGCTTAAAGAGGCAGCTTGGCCAGCCAAGGTCACACAGCCAGGGAAAGGTAGATCAGCTTTTGAGTCAGGCACTTCCTGCTTCTTGGAGCTCCTGTTCTTTTCCCTATCCCAATGGTTCTGTGTTACAAGGACTTTCCAAGGGGATGAGAAGACTAGGTCTGTGTTTCCTCCCCGCAGCTCCCGCCCATTCCCTCTCCCGCTCCTTCTTAGTATTTACCTTTTTTTGATCTAGAGTTCTTCAGTGTCACCCTATTTCTAGCTGTCCCCTCCCTCCTCTTCCCCTGTCCCCTCCTCTCCCTGCTGGAATGAGGCCCTGCCTTGCCCAGGCTGCTGGGGTATTTGGGGGCCCACCAAGGCCTGGGGGCAGGCCTGGACCAGAATGCTTGGAACCCTGCCCAGTCTTGGCTGAGCCAGGCCCCCTCCTTCCCAGCAGGGTGGGTTCCAGCGGGAGGCAGGGGCTGCCTATGACAAGGCGTCTCCCTTCAACCTCAAGGACAGCTACCACATGGCCTGGCTGCCACTGGGGCCCTCACCTGCATGTATCCTGCCCCAGGCAGGCAGTGCCCACTGCTTCTCAGCCAGAGGCCTAGACAGCTCAGCCAAAGCCTGTAGATTTTGAGTCAGCAGGTGCTCCCCAAGACAGGCAGGGACCCACCAAGATTCAGGGGGTCAATTTAGGTATGGTGCCCCTATTTGCTATAGAATAACATGGTGCCAATAATGGTTAACATGTAAGGAGTGCTAAGTGGTGACTGGTGGTTACTGTCATCTTTCATGTGCTGACCAGGGACAGAGGCTGTTCTCACAAGCCCTGGAGGCAGGTTCTGTGATCTGCCCATTTTACAGTCCCAGAGGTTAAATGACCTGCCCACACTCACAAGGCCTGCACATACAGAACTGGGGTTAGTGTGGGTGTATCTGACACTGTCTTGTCCCCAGGTTCCACTCAGGGATGCTTGGAGCCCAGTCTTGTCAACCCTCCTGCTCTTGAACACTTAGTACCCTTTTCCTTTCTTTCCCTGCCTGTCCCCCTTGACCCAATAGGACAATGTGACTCTCCCTAACCCATTCAGACAGGAATGCCAACCATGCACCCCGTGGGCCTGTCCCATTGAAGGCCTATCATGCCAGTGCCCCTTCCCACCTCCTTTGGCTCTATAAACAAGCTGGGCTGGGGCCCCCAGGGAAGCCAGGGCATTGGTATAGCGGCTTCCTGCACTTGGTGCCCTCAAGCTGCCAGCCTGTGCACCAGGGTGGGAGCAATAAAGCCAGGACCTATAAAAGGCCATGGGGCAGGTGCTCTTCTGCACACCAAGAGGTCAGCTGGGCCTTTGGAGGTGGGTAGAGGGAGTGCCAGGTGAGAGTTTGGACAGGGCAGATGGTACCATGTGTCCTGATGCTTCCTACCCTGACCCCCCCCAGAGCTCCTAGGCTCCACGAAGAGGCTCAATGTCAACTACCAGGATGCTGATGGGTGAGTGTGTGCCGCTGGGGAAGAAAGTAGATGCCTGGGGAAGGGAGGAGGAAAAGGCCCTGGGGCTCAGATTAGGTCCTTGAAGTATGTTTTTAAATTCTAGGTCTTTCCTGTGTAGGTCCAAAGGGAGCAGGTCCTGCCCACCCACCTGCCTATGGAGTTAGCCATGAGTGAGGGGAGGGGCTCCCATGGGTCAGATTCCTCCTGGGCCCTTTTTCTCCCTGGAGGGTAGGAGCCTCCAGGCTCCTGCTCCCACAGCCCCCCTCCTCTGTGCTGGCTGGGGGGTGGGGGAGATGCTAGACAAATGGGCCTCTCAGCCTAGACACTGAGCTCTTTCATGCTGCGTCCCGGCTGCTGTGCGCTCCCACGGCAGGGCTGGCGGGCATAGGGGGGCAAGTAACCCATCACTGCTGGCCCCCAGAATGAGCCTGAGTGTGGAAGACCAAGACTTAGGAGGTGGGAGACCACTCGTTGACACCCCCTATTTTGTGTCTCCCATGCCAGATTCTCAGCTCTCCACCATGCTGCCTTGGGGGGCAGCCTGGAGCTCATAGCCTTGCTACTGGAGGCTCAAGCCACTGTTGACATCAAAGACAGCAATGGTGAGACCCCAATGTACCCCACTATGTGGGGAAGGTCAGGCCCGTCACCCTAGCCCCTGTGACCAGAGCTGGGTCCTGTTAGGACACAGTTGAGATGAAGAGTGCCTCTTCTCTGAGCTTACACATGGCTTTTCTTCTGAGGGAAGTGTGTAGTGTGTAGTTCCGTTATTCAGATGAGGAGGCTCAGAGAGGTTATAGCACTGTCCAGGGTTGCCAGGGCATCCATGGTGGGCACAGTGATAACTGACTGTAGCCCCACAGAGGACCAAACCAGAGAAAGCCATTGTTGGATGGCCGTCTCGCCTCCCAGCCAAGGTGGCTCTGTTCTCTTTGGGTCTCCCCAACCCTAATGCCATCCCAAACCCCTCTCAGAGTTCCTTCTTCCTCCTATCAGGCATGCGTCCATTGCACTATGCAGCCTGGCAGGGCCGGCTGGAGCCTGTGAGACTGTTGCTTCGGGCCTCTGCAGCTGTCAATGCTGCTTCCCTGGATGGGCAGATCCCTTTGCACCTGGCTGCACAGTATGGGCACTATGAGGTGGTAAGTGAGCCTGCCTGTAGGATCATGGCGGGAAAGGAGCTAGGCAGGGACTTATGTCTGACAGACCAGGCCCTCTTACTTGGCTCCCCCCACCACAGTCAGAAATGCTCCTCCAGCACCAATCCAACCCTTGCCTGGTCAACAAAGCGAAGAAGACGCCCCTAGACCTGGCCTGTGAATTTGGGCGGCTCAAGGTGAGGCCTACAGCCCCAGGGTGCTGGGTGCTGGATGTCTATGGGGTCTTAGGAGGAGGATCTAACTGGGTACTGCATACTGTAGGTGGCCCAGTTGCTACTGAACAGCCACTTATGTGTGGCACTGCTGGAGGGAGAGGCAAAGGACCCATGTGACCCCAACTACACCACGCCCTTACACTTGGCTGCCAAGAATGGCCATAGAGAAGTCATCAGGTACCCTAGGGGATCCACCCTTTTCCTTAGTCCCTTCTTGTCAAACCATCAGTTCCTAACCAGTGCCTTCTTGTTGCTATTGTTTGTGTATTTGTTAAGATCTATTTTTATTTTTAATTATGTATGTCTGTGTGGTGGGTATGTGCACATGAGTGCAGTTGACAGTGAGGACCAGAAGAGGGCATAAGATTCTTTGGAGCTTGTGATACAGGTGGATGTGGGTGCTGAGAACTGAACTCCTAAACTCGGGTCCTCTGCAAGAACAGTACACACCTGAGCTCTCTCCATCCCCTGCTGCTGTTTTCAATCTCCCAACCCCCACATCCCCCAGCTTCTCCCCTTTTCAACCACCCCATGACTCCCTCTGCCCACCACAGGCAGCTCTTGAGAGCTGGTATTGAGATCAACCGCCAGACCAAGACAGGAACTGCACTCCACGAGGCTGCACTATATGGCAAGACCGAGGTGGTACGGCTGCTCCTAGAGGTAGGAATGGGCACACAGAGCCCACATTATGTGCTGACACCAGCTAGGGAGGCCATGGTGTTTTGTGGGGGCAGCAAGAAAAGGGCCTCACTTCCTCTAAATGGTGCTGAAGCCTCATGGCTGGAGAACAGACCCAACTGGTTCAGACCCCAAGTCTGCCTTGACCTGATAGTAAGACCTGAATGTGATAGCAGTTCCCTCCTTCTGGGTGGTTGGGAGGAAGAGAGGAGAAATGACTAGCAAAGTGCTCAGGATACCAGTGCTCTTATGATACCATGTACCCCAGGGAGGTGTGGACGTGAACATCCGGAACACATACAACCAGACGGCACTGGATATAGTGAATCAGTTCACCACCTCCCAGGCCAGCCGGGAAATTAAGCAGCTACTTCGTGGTGAGTGGGAGGAGGGGACCCAGCCAGAGACAGGCTGAAGCCTTTATAGTGGGTACCAGGGTGTAGAAGAAGAGCAGGCCAGGAAAATCAGGTTACTTAACTGACACCTGCCCTTCCCTTTCTATTAGAGGCTTCAGGGATCCTGAAGGTCCGAGCACTCAAGGATTTCTGGAACCTCCATGACCCCACTGCTCTCAATATCCGGGCAGGAGATGTCATCACGGTGAGGAGCCCCTGTGGGCATTCCTTTAGGATACCAACAGTTGCTGTGACTTACTTGGGCACCTGCTCTGTTACTAGGCTGAGCTAAATCTGTATATACTTATTTAATTCTTTCCAAATCTAGGGAAGGTAGGTGCCATTATCTTTTTTAAAAAGATGAAAAAGTTGAGACTTAGAAAAATTAAAATGGCTGACCCAAGCTGACAACCAGTAGATTAGAACACAGGCTCCTGCATGTATGACCTGTTGTAAAAGGGGATTGAGCTGACTGCCAGCAGTAGGGGCCAAACTTGGGTTGACAAGAGCATTAGAGGCCAGCTCCATGAGGGAAGAGCTGGACCAGGCCTGCTGGACTATGACTGCAGCGATAGCCACTTGCTTGGTGTAAGGAGTGACTGTCCTTTCCCTCTACAACTTATCACAACAGGTGCTTGAGCAGCACCCTGATGGTCGCTGGAAAGGCCACATCCATGAGAGCCAAAGGGGCACAGACCGTGTGGGCTACTTTCCCCCAGGCATCGTTGAGGTGGTCAGCAAGCGGGTGGGCATTCCCGTGGCCCGTCTCCCCTCTGCACCCACACCCCTGCGACCAGGCTTCTCTCGGACACCACAATCCTCTGCTGATGATCCCCTGCACCCGCTTACCTATGGCCAGCTCCCTCGCATGGGCCTTAACCCAGACAGTCCAGGTACATCCTCCCAGAGGGCAGCACTGGGCACTGAGCACTGGCAAGTTGCCAGTCAGCTGTTAGGAACACCAAGTGAAACTCTGACCCCTGTGCTTCTGCCCCCTGCAGCAGGTGACAGGAATAGCGTGGGGAGCGAGGGCAGTGTGGGCAGCATCCGCAGTGCTGGTAGTGGGCAGAGTTCCGAAGGCACCAATGGCCATGGCACCAGCCTCCTTATTGAAAATGCCCAGGTAGGAGGGAGGGTCCCTGGGGCCTGCCTGGTCAGGGCCTGACCACTTCCAGTTTCCCATATATTTATTTATTTATCTCCTTTATTCCTTTTTAGCCACTGCCCTCTGCCACTGAGGACCAGGTGCTGCCAGGACTGCATGCCCCATCCCTGGCAGGTAGGAAGGGTAAACCGGACTAGTGTTGGCTGGGAAGTGCAGGTGGTGAAGCTAAGGGCTTGCCCCCACCCCTCCCTCACTCCAGTCACCTCTGATGTCATTTCTCTCTTTCCTTGAAGACAACCCGAATCACCGCCCTCTGGCCAGCTACCGCTCTGGGGAGAGCTTCACCCAGGATGTAAGGCCGGAGCAGTTGCTGGAAGGAAAGGTGAGGCCTCCATTGGGAGATAGACTAAGCCTTGGGGAAAAATGGAAGGTTTAGTATGGATTTATATCCACTTCATCTTGGCCTGGGAGAAGTGCAGGCCAATGGGATGGGCCCTTTCTCAGCAGGCTTGGCTCTTGCTCACTTCCCTATCCCATCTCACTCCCTACCCCAGGATGCACAGGCCATTCATAACTGGCTAAGTGAATTCCAGCTGGAAGGCTACACTGCCCACTTCCTGCAGGCTGGCTATGATGTGCCAACCATCAGTCGCATGACACCTGAGGTTGGTACTGCAGCAGGGGAAGTGAGAACCCTGGGGGAAAATGAGGGCCCTGACACCCATGCCCTGTGTGGCAGGATCTGACGGCCATCGGGGTGACCAAGCCTGGACACAGGAAGAAGATCGCCTCGGAGATTGCCCAGCTCAGCATTGCTGAGTGGCTGCCCAACTATATCCCGGTGAGCAGGTGGAAGGCTGGGGGCTTTGGTTCTTACTCAGGACGATGGTTGGGAGGGGGATTCCTTTCTAGCTTGGAGAGAACAGGTCTGAGGATGAAACTCTTCCAGATGGACTTGCTGGAGTGGCTATGTGCGCTGGGGCTGCCACAGTACCACAAGCAGCTGGTGAGCAGTGGCTATGACTCCATGGGGCTGGTGGCTGATCTCACCTGGGAGGAGCTGCAGGAGATAGGCGTCAACAAGCTGGGTGAGGACTGCTCTGAGGCCTCCTGGCTGGGACACCCCTCCTCCCATGCCTCTGGCATCTCCAAGGGAAAATGGGGTCCATCCAAGGTGATGGGGATGACCCTTCCTAGACCCCGATAACCTGGCTGCTTCTGTCCACCTTTCTCAGGCCATCAGAAGAAGCTTATGCTGGGTGTGAAGAGGCTAGCAGAGCTTCGTCGGGGCCTGCTACAGGGAGAGGCCCTAGGTGAAGGCGGGCGTCGGCTGGCCAGGGGTCCAGAGCTGATGGCCATTGAAGGGCTGGAGAATGGGGAAGGTCCGGCCATGGCTGGGCCTCGCCTCCTCACCTTTCAAGGCAGTGAGCTGAGCCCGGAACTGCAGGCAGCTATGGCAGGGGGTGGCCCAGAACCACTACCTCTTCCCCCTGCACGTTCTCCTAGCCAGGAGAGCATTGGAGCACGTTCACGGGGGTCTGGTCACTCACAGGAACAGCCTGTCTCCCAACCAAGTGTTGGAGACCCCAGTGCCCCACAGGAGAGGAACCTTCCAGAGGGTACAGAGCGCCCCCCTAAGCTTTGTTCCCCACTTCCTAGCCAAGGACCTACCCCCTATGTTTTTATGTGCCCACAGAGTTCACCTAGCCCAGCCCCAGGGCCACCTCCTGGTGCACCCCGGGCCTTCTCCTACTTGGCTGGGTCTCCTGTCACTCCTCCAGACCCACCTCGGCCCAAGCGCCGGTCTCACAGCCTGAGCCGCCCTGGCCCTACTGAGGGGGAAGCTGAAGGGGAGGCCGAAGGGCCACTGGGCAGTGCCTTGGGCAGTTATGCCACTCTCACCCGGAGACCAGGACGCAGCACCCTTGCCCGGACCAGTCCTAGCCTGACTCCAGCTCGAGGGACCCCCCGCAGCCAGTCATTTGCCCTCCGCGCCCGTCGTAAAGGCCCTCCACCCCCACCACCCAAGCGTCTCAGTTCAGTCTCTGGCTCCACAGAGCCATCTTCACTAGATGGAAGCCTGGGGCCCAAAGATGGGGCTGCAGGGCCCCGAAGGAGAACACTGAGTGAACCGACTGGCCCCTCAGAGCCCCCTGCCCCTCCTGCCCCAGCTGGCCCTGTGTCGGACACAGAAGAGGAGCCTGGTCCTGAGGGGACACCGCCATCTCGGGGCAGCTCAGGAGAAGGGCTGCCATTCGCAGAGGAAGGGAATCTGACTATCAAGCAGCGGCCTAAGCCAGCTGGCCCCCCACCCCGGGAGACTCCTGTTCCCCCTGGCCTTGACTTCAACCTTACAGAGTCAGATACTGTCAAACGGAGACCCAAATGCAGAGAGAGAGAGCCATTACAGACCGCACTGTTGGCCTTTGGTGTGGTGGGTGACACCCCTAGCCTAGTGGAAACTCCCCTGTCCTCCCAGGCCCCCTGTGAATCTCCCTCCTCAGTTTCCTCCAGCCCTCCACAGCCTGAACCTAGCAGCCTTGCAACTCAAGGAGCTCCAGCCCCTTCTCTCAGTCCCATAATACAGCCCCCTGGCCACCTAGGGCCATGCACTGGGCCAGCTGTGGAAAATTCAACAGGCAGTCGGCTGAATGTGGAGACAGAGCCTCCAGCTGCCCTTGCTGCCCTCCTTAAAGTGCCTGGCACAGGTAGGAAGTGAGGCTTGCAGAGAAGAGTCATTGTGTGTTGGGTTACATCCAGCCAAGTCATAAGCCAACCTTTTTCTCTGCAGGAACAGCCCTCAAGCCTGTTTCTGTGGCCTGCACTCAGCTGGCATTTTCTGGCCCAAAGCTGGCTCCCCGGCTCGGCCCCCGCCCAGTACCCCCTCCAAGGCCTGAGAGCACTGGGCCTGTGGGTCCAGGCCGGGCCCAACAGAGACTGGAACAAACCAGTTCATCCCTGGCAGCTGCACTGAGGGCAGCTGAGAAGAGCATTGGCACTGAGGAGCGAGAGGGGTGAGCTGGGTGCAGAGGGGATGGGAGAGAAGGTAGGCATGGGAACAGCTTCTCCCCTGGGCCCTCAGAACACCAGAGGGAGGGAGACACTGCAGGCAGAGCCTGGGGGGGCCTCTAGTGGGATGTTAGGACCTAGGTTTCAGAGTGACCCAGATCCGGCCTGCAGAGATTCCTGGTGACTGTCACCTACAGGCATGTTAGTTTAGGTAAGAGGCAATATACATTAAGTGTCTGACATGAAACATGGAGTTCCTTCCCCAGGGAAGCAAGCTACAGACTACTCGTCCATCTCATCAAGCTTTCTCTTGCCACAGCCCTCCAGGGACCTCTACCAAGCACATTCTGGATGACATCAGTACCATGTTTGATGCTTTGGCTGACCAGCTGGATGCCATGCTGGACTGAGCAAGACTGGCCTGTGGGCCTCCTACAGTACCCACAGTTGCCTGCCAGCATTCACTGCCAGTGGCCAAGCATGGAAGAGGACCCTGCCAGCCAAGGAACAGGCAGAGGGCTGGTTGGGCTGGAGTACCCTTCCCCAGCAGAGGCTGTCCTGCTGCTCCACGCAATGGCTGTTAGTCCAGAAGGGGGTTGAGAGGACTTGTCAGAACGTGATTGAGGGACTCTGCTGCATGTGGTAGCAAAGCCCCTCCCATGTACAATCGGACTATACAACTTTGACCCCTGAACAGGAACCCTGGTAAGAGCTCTCTCCTCTAGGAGGAGGTGGCAACAGGCTTTTGGGGTGCTTCCTCTGCACCTCCCTGCCCATGTCTAAAGTCCCTGTCCCAAGGAAATGCCTCCGGCCACTTGCTGTATTGCCTTAGGGCTCCATTAGGCTAGGTGAGGTAAGGCACCTGGCTGGTCCCCTCTGGAAGTGTACATACGAGATGTAAATACAGAGCAGGGGTATACTCTCCTGGCAGTGGCTATGGTCCAGTCATCTCCTGCCATCCCACACTGGGAGGCAGTGCTGGTGGGGGTCAGAGGCAATGAGATTAACAGATCCCCAATGTCCAAACTTTTACAACTGTACATAATATTTTTTAAGCAGAGAGAAATGCATATATTTTAAATGGAATTTATTCTATTAACTGCCTGAGAGGATGCCGTGGGGTAGGCCTTTGTATTGCCTGCCCACCTCCAGTTGGAGACCTGACCCAGCTGGCCCAGGCCCAGGCTCTGTAACTATTAATCTCTTCCCTCAACTAACACCAATGAAAGTGTCATTCCACATGATTGGGCTGTGTTTGGATCTGTGCAGGAGTCTCCCTTCACCCAGACCTGAGGGCACACACCAATGTGGAGGAATGAAGGCTTAGGCCCCGCTCCCTGCTTTCAAGGATCCCCTCAGTGCTGCAGCCTGGAGACAGGACCCTTCATGACTGCTTTATGGATCAGCTACAGGTTTTTTCATAAGCAATTTACAATTTTAATATAAACCCGTTGACATTCATTCCCAAAAGGCTCATTTCCAGTAAAAAAACAAAACATAACAGTAAAAACTTGTAGAACGAGGGCAGGGGTCATAGGGAGCCTGAGCTGTGTCCCCTATGGCTGACTCATGGCCAGCTGGTGCAGGCACAGGAAAGGGCTCCAGGGTGAGGTGGGCCCTTTTCCATCTTCAGGCCCACCTATGAGAGTAACCCAGATTAAGGGGAGGTCCTCAGGGCCACACCCAAGCCCTTGCCCCAGGACGATGGGATGGGGGTGGCAGGTAGGACACTATCTTCCACACTGCTTCTCTAACAAAGGCTGAGGCTCACCCCTCACTCAGGCTGCTGTAGACACAAAAGCAGAGGGCACCAAGTGAGGGGACCCTGATGACAGGCAATTCACGGGGAAGGGGCTATGGGCCCCTCTACCAAGCGCCCAAGGTCATACATTCAAGAGTGCCCCCGGTAGGGCCAGGGAAGAACCTGGGCAGTCCTGTCAAACCAAGGTCATGGGTCCTCAGCTTCTCCATGGTAAGCTCCAGAGTAAGGAGACAGCAGGGTCTCCAACGCCAAGGGGCACAAAGACAAACCCTGAAACATCCATGATACCAACTCCCCAGGATCAGGAAAACATCTGGCTTTAGCCCCAGGAACCAGGGCGTGTATGGCCACCATGACCAATGGCTCAGAAGGGAGAGTTCATGCCCAGCTTAGTTTCAAACTGCAGCTTCTGTCGTTTCTGGTACCGGACACGGACCCTGGTGAAACAGATTAAGACAGACTGATAGCTGGGCCTAGTGGCCCAGGCCTATAATTCTAGCTATTTGGAGGCTGAGGCAGAAGAATCACAAGATCAAAACCTATCTGAACTACTTAGTGAGACCTGTCTCAAAAAATGAAAAAGAGGGCTAGAGATATAGCCCGTTAGTATATTGGAGGTTGTCCTAGGTTCAATATCTAGTACCAGGAATTAAAAGACAAACAGATTGGGACAGACCTTCAGACCAAGGGACTGCGTAGGATACCAACAAAAGAGGTGGCAGGTTCAAGGAACACTCAAGAGTCCCACTGGAGGGGCCCACTAAAGCTCACCGAATCTCATGAAGCTTTACAATCTCATTGGTGACCACCACAAGGACCAGGGACAGGCAGCCCAGGAGCCATGTCAGCAGGGGCACATCCTCTAGGCCAAAGTGGACATGCGTGTCCCTATGTGTCCACAGCTGCAGGTCTACAACTGTCTGGATCACCTGACCCAGGAGTCTGTTGGGGGAGGGAATAGCCCTGTGTGAAGCCCAAGTCATGTTGCTTCCTTCTTTGCTTTCCCAGCACAATTAGCTCAAGGAGGGCAACCAGACTTTGTCTTCCTCCCACCTGCAATCCCAGGCCTATCCCACAGCACCCTGCATTAAGCACTACTCACACCACAGGCACAGTCACGGCCCACCAGAGGTTTGTCAAAGGGCTCTTTCTCCACAGAGGCTTAGTGCGATGTACGTGAGTGATGGAGATAAAGACTAGAAAAGAAATCAGCCAATGGGGTGTCAGGCTTCCACTGGCCCAAGATCTTGCCTCCAACATTGGGGTGTTCCTGACAGTGTTCAGCAACCCCTCCAAAGCAGAGCCCTCACCAGTGTGCAGAACAATCAGAGCAGCTGTGAGCTTCTGAGCTGACAGCAACCCATTGGCGAAGTCCTCAAACCAGGCGGGAGCCCTGTCATCATTGCTGCCAAAGGAAGACAGAGATTTAGCCTCCTGAGGGCCCACAGGGAAATGGCTGGGGCAGTGAGGGACCCACCTGCAAAGCATGATGGAGGAGCAGTTGGTGAGGTTGCGGGCCCGGGCACTGTCACAGAAGCTCTGCAGTGTGAAGCCAAAGCAGATGAGGCACGAGCTGATGGTGAGGCTGAACTTGAGCAAGAAGCAGAACAGGAAGTAGTGCTGGGTCTGTGGCATAAAGGAGGGTGGTCATTTCCCAGGGTGGGCAGCCTCCCTGTGGGCTGCATGGCAGACCTGGCACCTGGTCAACTTTTTCACATGTTCAGCAGGCTCTCAGCAAATGGTCAAGCCTGGAGGGATAAGGACCAGGGACCATACTCCCAGCACAAATCTTTCTCAGGATTGGCTACCACCTCTACTAGCCAAGTGCCAGCTCTCCAGGTCCCCAACCTCTGCAGAGTCTTCCAGGTTAGGCCACTCCCAGCCCCAGCCTTCAGCCTCTCTGAGAAGCTCTGGTAACCTAGGTCTGCCTTGCTTACCTTCTTAGGAATGGACTGAAGGTTTTTGCCTGTTGCCATAGACATGATAGAGCTATGGGGTGGTTTACCCAGCAGAGAGATGCTGAAAAGCAAGTGTGGATAAAGGGATAGTGACTACCACCCCGTCCCTCAACTCTCAAAGAGAAAACATACAGGGAATCTTGGGAATGAGATCAAGTCTGCTAAGGAAGTAGAATCAGAAAAGGGGGTCTTGTCTCAGAGCCTTCTTGTACTAAAGGTGAGCTCTGAGCCATCCTGGTAGAATGCTGGGCCCCTTGGGATGCCCACTGACATGCTCGCCCCACCTGCCTGGGCACAGAGGAGCTTTAAACAGTCTCTCACCTGAGCAGAGGATAACAAAAGCAGGATAGCCATAAGATGTCTGTGGTACTCAGGAGTGGTGGCAGCTGGACCAGACAGGAAAGGAACTATACCAGGAGAGAAAAGAGGTGCCAGCAAGTTAGTATGACCCTAGATGCCAGGGCTGCCTTGCCCTTGCCCTGACAGACTCATCCTGACTGAGAAGAGAACACTTCTACCAATGGGGTCATCTCCAAAGTCCAGGTGTTTCACAGAGGCTCTTGGATATGCTGCACCCACCTCTTCAGATTCTTAAGGAAGGAGTAGGTAAAGGAGGGCAATGCCTGGGTAGGCCCCGGCTTACCTGGATGACCACAAGGGTCAGCTGGCACTGCAGCAGGAAGAGGAAGCACTTACGGATGCCATAGGTGGCGTGCCGAGCCTAGGGACGAACAGGGACAGATTATGGCCCAAGCCTGCATGACCTCTCTCAGGTGTATAACCAACAAGAGCTAAGAACCAGATGCCAGTGATGCTCCCAGTGATACTCCTATGAGGAAGGAGCAGAGGAAGGAGCAGTTAACTGCCATGGGGAGCTTCACTTGTTCTTCCCGGTTGGAAGGCAGGAAGCTTGAGGTCCGGTGGGCCCAGAAGCATACTATGATGAAGTTCCACCTTTAAGGCTGCCCAGGAGGGCCTGTACCCTCCCCCAACTACCTGTCTGAGTCCCACCTGCTCAATGAGCCGGATGATGCTAATGGTCTCCTCCTGGCGAAAGGTCAGGGAGCAAGGTAGGCTGTTGAGTTGCCCTGACAACTGCAGGGGAGAAAGGCCATCCGAGGCCTGGGCCATGGTAGTGCTGGTGGCATAGCCAAAAGTCTCCCAGGAGCAGCGGGATGGGTACAGGGGATCCAAAGCAATGCTGCTCAATGAAAGGAAAGTCCACCATGAACTGAACTCTGCAAAAACTGTGTACCACAGGACTGAGCATCCTATCCCCTCTTCTCCCACCATACACAGGTGCCTGGGTCCCAGCCAAGGTAAGTCCCTAGCTACATGCAGGCTCGCCCATCTGAGGTCTGAGAGGCAGAGGTGGACCCTCAGCCCCAGCATCTCACCCTGACCTGACATCACTCTGGAGGAAGAGGCAGCTGTTCCGCAGGTTGGCAGAGCTGCCCAGGCAGCAGGTCACCTCCCCGTACTCCTGCATGATCTTTATCATCTCACACATAGCTGCAGGCAGGCAAGAGTCACAAGAGTCAGGAGGTACAATCCTGGACAGGTGCTAGCAGAAACCCTCAGCCAGAAGAACAGGAAACAAATGGGAGCTGGCCCCTTTTTTGGAGCAACACCACCCAGCAACACAATTACATGAACACTCACTTCTAACTCCCTGGAATGGACATGCCCACAGCATTATTCCACTGGATTCCCCAGCCAGTCCTAGCCCAGGTTTTCCCACTTTCTCCTTAGGAAAGTCTTCCCCTCCGAGCTACATGATACCCAACCCTGACAGAGCTCAGGAGGAGACATAATACTCACTCTCAGGGGTACAGTCCGTGAAGAGGGGCACCAACAGGGGCACATTGTCAATGTTCTGCAGATGGGGCCGCACCTGATGGATGCCCCGGGGCAGCTTGGCCTGGAGGAAGCAGAGATGCCAGTGGCTTCAGGATGGGGAGAATCACTGCACGTGCCAACCGCCCACCCCGCCCTTCTCTTCTTGGACCATCTTTGTGGCCACTTCATGGGCACAGGACACAGATTGCATTGTCATACCCGGTTACAGTCCTCCAGGAAGCTGGGGATGTCACTATCTGTAGGCTGGAAGCTGATGAGGTCCGAGTGACCCTCCTCCTCCAAGAGAAGTAGTCCTTCCGCATCATCTCGGGACACTGTGAGGACAAACACCTGTCCTTACCTTGGACCAGCCTTTTGGGAGGCTTTTCCTTGCCCTGCAGATGGCACACAGCTTCCTGCATCCTTTCTTCCTCTGCCTACTGTTGCTGCCCACAGGGACATTCAGGCTATTTCCAAGGGAGTGTGCTTATAGGAGGATCTATGGAAGTTTCTCCTAACTGAACTTTCCAAGGGGAACTTTCCACACTCACCCCTTCCCTGCCACAAGCCTTTGCCCTCACCCTGATTCAGGTCATCATGGAGGGAGCCTGCATGGCTAGGGCTGGAGGGAGGTATCTCAGAGCCAGGTATGTCACCATTGGGTGTGAGGGAAATGTGACAGTTCCAACCTGTCTCCAGACCCATCTTTTCTGCAAATACCTGTAAAAAGCATATGACAATGAACACAAAGGCCCAAAAGGACCAGTGGGGACAGAAGGGGAAGGCTTTCCCTACCTTGCTTTTGAGCTCATCCTCCAAAGAGAAGTAGACAAAGCGGATACAGGCATTGACCAGCCCATCAATGAGGCGTACGATGTCCAGCCGGGCCTGGTACTGGGAGGACACCATGCCCATGAAGATCTGACCACTCAGGGCCTGCATGCAGTCTTCCTTCTCCAGCACCTCCCCGATCCCTTCTTCAGGCAGGCACAAGACACAAAGCCCAGCCGGCATGTGGCAAGACAACCAGGACACAGCCCAGTTAGGACACAGAGGCAGATTCCAGGAGGAGCCCAGGGCCACACACATAGAGGCCATACCCAAATCAATGAGCATATGGGCCCCAGGGGAACACATACACACACACAGAGCCACACAGACATATACAGAGCCAAGAAACATTAAGGAGCCAACAGACACAAGAGAAAAGACAATGAAAAGTACTCATCAGTCAGGTGACCACCTTGGGGAGCCATGTAGGGCATGGCTTAGCTCCTGCCTGGCCCTGTTCCAGGTAGGTGCTGGTCCCACCCTCAGCAACCACTTCAGTACACGGTATCCTGAGCTTCTAAGATACCACCAAATATGTGTGCTTGGGGACGGAAGGCAGATGCTAAGTTCCTCAGTTCCCAGAGTTTGGGCTTGGGCTTCTATCTAATTTTAATAAGGTAATGCTTTATAAATGCACTGTTTTATAACTTCCTAAGAAAGCATTTTTATATTCATTAACCCTCTTAAATACCTCAAGAAACCTGTGAGTAGGGTACAGAAGGCACCTGTTTTTAGATAAGAAAACTGAAGGATTTCCTACATCAGCTAGTGAGTGCCACACTGCCATCTCTGTGTGGTACCCATTTTCTGCCACACACAAAGCCATGGCCCATTGAAACCTTCCAGCTCCTGGGCTTCCCAGCCTCAGGAACCCCAGTACCATTCCTACTGAAATGGAAGTGTGTGATACCGTCAGAACTCCAGCTGCTACAGCGGATGTTTGGCTTGATGGGAACAGTGCTGGGCAGCTCACACATGGTGAAGATGCTGTTCTGGCCCGGTACCTGCACCAGCTCAATGCACTTGCCATTAAGCTGAGAGGACAGGGAGCAGTTCATGGGCTTGTAGGCAAAGGCAGAGCAATAGCCAGACAGGCAGGCTCTCTGGTAGAAATCCAGTACTTTCTTTCTGCCAGAGGAGTAGAGAAGAAGTAAGATGACTGATCTTGAGATGCCCACAACCATGAGACAGGCAGGCAAACCAGCAAAGTTCCCCACTCACCTGTCAGAACCTGAAAGAGGGTAGATGTCAGCACCATCCCAGAAGTCTGTGCAGGCCTCCAAGACCACATCAGCAGTGCCATGGGACAGCATCTGCTCTGTGCCTAGGGTAGGAAAATAAGCCATACCATGAGGCCCCAAACTAGCCTCTGCCCTTCTTCTAATCTAGCAGGTGACACACTGCAGTCCTTAAAGAGGTACAAAGGCATTCCTGATAGGGAAAGACTCCCTTCAGGGCTCCCAATCAGTAAGCCGACATGGAACACTGCTGACTAGTCCTGTAGGCACTACACTTCCTGTTTGAAGAATCCCATTCTCTGTGACTCTTGTCCTCAAGACCAGTCTCTGCCACACTGGGGGACTTGGAGAGCTGTCTGGTGCTTATCTGATTTATTCTCCCCAGAATAGATGGGATGGGGTATATCCCCCCACCTGAAAAGTTCTAGAAGTTTTGGCTAGATACCAGCTGAGCTGGCATGAGGCTCACTGGTGGCAGTGTCCTTGATGAAGAGGCTGATCATGTGGCTGAGTGGGGGGCGCCGCTTGGTCACACAGGAGGGACGCCCTAGCGAAGTCTCCTTCACAGTTTCAGCGCTGGGAAGGCGGTAGAGTACCAGGTGGTTCTCTTGCTTGAAGAGTTCCTTGGCCCCTGGAGTGAAGCCTATGGACAAAGACAGGACTTGGGGCCTAAGAGTGGGGACAAGGCTCCACCAGCTTCTTTACATTCTAACAGGTAGAAAGATGGACTGTAGTTGTCTTGACCAGCTCCTGCCACTTTTGTGTTCCAACAATTACTCATCTTTCCAGATTAGAAAGCTCTGCCACTCCTTCAGTGTCTATTAAAAGGAAATAGAAGCTTAAAGAGTTCATGACAAAGGAATGTTATGCCAGGGACAGATCTACTTGGAGTCAGTGCCCAGCCTGTCCTGAGAGGCTAGCAGTCACTCAGACAGCTCCATCCCACTTCCACCACCACAATGCCATACCAATAAGACGAGCCAGCTCACAAAGGCCCCAGGGCACGTGCACAGGCAGCACAGCACTGTGGCTCTCCTGCAGGGCAATGTTGCACAGGTGGTCAGAAAAGCGGCACAGGCGCTCAGTGACGCTGGCATTGCACAGGTTCAGCAGCACATTGAGGCCCAGTGGCTTGAGGGAGGTAAGGTGCAACTGCCAGTTGGAGTCATCAAACTGGATGCACGAGGGGTTCTGCTGGTCCTGGGACAGGCTCAGCATCTCCAAGTGGTAGTCACATACAAAGTCCTCAGTCTCATAGAGATCATCCTCTGTCCCAGGCTGGACCTGGAGGAAATGGGAGAAGAGGAGCCCTAGGCTGGGAGGAGGTCAGGTCAGGCTCTGATTCCCAGATAGGCCCCAAACTGGTCCCACAAGAAAGTTCATCTTGGGGAAGATGAAAAAAGAAAGCCCATCTTCCCAGGAGGGTGACCATGCTCATATCCTCTTATCCCTACTGAGAGCCTCTCCCTGTCCTCCTGTCTGCCTTTAGGATCTGTACCCACTGATTTTGATCCTTTTGGCTAGGATCAAAAATGGGACCTACACCTGGGCAGAAGGATTATAAGAGCCAGAGGTGTTAGATGAATACAAGGAAACTGTGTTGTCTGGACACCACAGGGCAGTTGCACATATGAACCCGCAGTGCTAGTGACAGCATGCCCAAGACCTGTGTCCAAGTCAGACAAAAACTCAGCATGGATGGGGGAAGTAAGAAAGAAGCCCCAGCCCTCGCTGAGGATCCACTGGCAATTGATAGCCACTGTGTCACCTGGTAGGTTGACCAGACTCCAGGAGATAGACTCACACCCAGGAGCATTTGGAAATAGGGATTCAACTTAGTAGGCTTTTTTTCTTTTTTTCTTTTTTTTTTTTGTCTTTTTGAGACAGGGTCTCTCTGTAGCCCCAGATGTCCTGGAACTATGTAGACCAGGCTGGCCTTGAACTCACAGAGATCTGCCTGCCTCTGCCTCCTGAGTGCTGGGATTAAAGGCATGCGCCACCACGCCTGGTGGCCTTTTTTCTTAAAAAAAAAAAAAAAAAAAAAAAAGACAAACAGAGCCAAGCATGGTGATGTATGCCTTGAATCTCAGCACTTGGGAGGCAGAGGCAGGCAGATCTCTGGTCTACATAGCAAGTTCCAGGCCAGGGAGACCCTGTCTCAAAAAAAAAAAGACAAATGATAATAGAGGACATGAGGTTAGGGGTATAGTAAGGTGAGGGTGGAGAAGGGGGAGGGGGTCTAAATATGATCAAAATATATTTTATGAAATTCTCAAATTAATAAAAAATATTTTTAAATAGGACCTATATGGCTGACACTGACAGTACCAATTTTGGGGTGGACCGGCAGGAAGGAAACAATGAGTCTTAATTCAGCCAGGGGAAAGTAGGTGCCTGGGAGCCTTGGCTTGGTGTGCTTAGAAGATTCTGATTATGAGGCTGCTAACTTGGGGAGAACTGAACTAGGACAAGGCACCATCATACAAAAGGCTCAGGTCAGATCTCAGAAGGCTGTCCTGCTGACCCAGGCTTGGAAGCTCTAGGAAGAGAGGCTGTATCTGATTCCTGTACTCTTCCAAATCTCACTGGTTCAAACTGAGCTGTGTCCCTTTGTCAATGCGGGCAGGATGGCCTGAGATACACAAGGTGGCTTCTCCACTCTGTCTCCCTCCTCTCACCTTGCTAGGTTCTTCCTCGCCGCCCTCGGTGTCTCTGCTGAAGCTCACATTGGATCCGGACGGGTGTTTGCTGCGGCCATGCACTTTGTGATGAGAGTAGGGCTCAGAGGGCTTGGGACCATCACCAGGCCAGTCACCATGCTCCTGCTCGTTGGAAAGGTGCAGGGTATTGTTCAGGGAGCCAGGAAGGAGGGCATCTCGTTCATGGGGCTGAGAAGAACAGGAGCATAGGTCTAGGACCAAAGTCCCATGGCTCCAGAGGACCAGGAGGGCGGGGCAGTTCTGGGCCCCCTACTGCTTTGTCCTTTCCCTCAAATACTCAGAAAAAGCTCCCAGAATGTCTAAGCCCTTTTTTCCCTCCTGAGTCTAGCCCTCCCAAGGCCATAGGTCAGTCTCTGAGGCTAAGCAGCCAAACCTAATTCCATGGAAGCTGGCCATACCTCTTCCTCTACCTCAGGATGGCAGAAAGATCGGGTGGACAGGTCATCTGTGAGGTCCTCATGGCTGCTGTGAGGGGGTTCCACCTTCCCGCTGAAAAAGAGCACAGTCTCTGGGCTGGGATTTGGCCATGATAGGATTCCCTGCTTGTCTACACAGCACAGCACCTTTTGGGAAGGAAGGATTAGAAAAAAGACTTAGCATTGACCTAACTGCCCAGTGGCCACATAAGTAACAGATGAGCAGTCCAGACCCAGCCAGATAGTACGACAGGTGCCTCCTCCCTGGTGGGCCTCCTCACCGTGACAGAGCCCAAGCTGTGCAGCAGACTGGCACTGTGGCTCAGCGTTGGCGATGTCCCTTGGATCACCCTCAGGAAGTGACCCCAAATGCAGCGTAGCATTTCCTGGTGGGAGACAGTCTGTGAGGCCATTTGAGGGTCAGACTTATTTCCTTCAAGATAGCCTCTAGGGCCCAAATCAAGAAAAATCCAAGAGAGTCCAGGAGATTGGGGTTCTAGGACAAGGTATTGTTATAGGCTCAGACCTGGGTCACACCTACATGCAACACAGACTGGGGGAAAGCAGTGCTCCAAGAGCTTAGCTGGAGGTTCAAGGCTCTAACAGGGTTCCAAGAAAGAGCCCAAGGGCACAGGGTTCTGTGAGTGCAGGGGCCTGGAGCAAAATTCCTCTCAGCAGTGTACCTGAGAGGAGACGGCTTCAGTGTAGCTGCTGAGAGTATCCTCTGAGAACTTGGCTAGCTGTACAGAGAGGAGGTGAGCTTCAGTGAGGAAAAAGCTGCCTTCACACAGATCACCTTACCAACTGAATGCAGTGTTGCACCAGTGAGGCTCATAACCTCATCAGGCAATCCCAACTCCCCATTGATGGTATGCAGAGGAGACACTCACCCATACCTGGGCCTGGCGTGGAGGCTACCTGGTGTCAGAAAGAGCCTGAGCCCCTAGAGATCTGCCCAGGGCTTGTAATATGCTGACCCGACTGGGATCACATCTGTCCCACTTCCTGGCACAACCAATTCCCTCTTTTTGTTCTTGCCGCTGTCTTCTAGATGCTTTGGAACAACCTACCAGGGAGCTGGGTGAGGCCTTGCTCATCTGGGCCAGGACACGAGCTTCTCCACAGGCGGTAGCCAAGACCCAGAGGACTGGGAAGAGCAGGGGGAGGATGGGTAGCATGCCATTCACCTGAGAAAGAGCAAACCACAAGCCAGGTTCCTAAAGAGCCTGCTGGCTTGGGAGGAAGGGGAGGGATGCCCTGCCACATAGCCATCCCTTAGGTAGAAAGGGACAGTTATCTAGGGAGCAGGAAGGAAAGGAGACTAAGGGTTGTAAGCTAAATCCTGAGTAAGCTCTGGGCTGCAGAGAGGGAGAGACCAGACAGGAAAGCACACCACGAAGAAATGCCATTCTTGCCTGGAGCTGGAGAAGGGTATACTGCCAGGAAGTGACCCCAGGTGCGTTGAATATGAAGCGCAGGGCATTGGTGACGAGAAAGCCAGCCTGTGGGAAGAGGATGGACACAGCATTAATGCCCTCCCCTAGGGAGGAACTGACCTATAGGCCCCTTCCTTTGCCATTCACACCACAGGCTCACTCTGACCCCTCTACATGCACTGTCACCTGTGTTGGGCCCTGAGGCTCACCCATGTGTGTCCCTCTCCCCTACCCCAAAGCCTCTCACGCACCAGGACCACTGGCACAGCATAGTGAAGCATCACTGACTGTACTGTGAACCTCTCATTGTCCAGAGCAGTGACTGGGCGGGACAGGGCTGTGTCCAGGCACCATCTGCAAAAAGACAATCTTCAGTCTCTCCTGGGAAAAGAGGCCAGAAGCCTGTACCTTGAAAGGAATTTGGGCCTCTCTCCTGGACAGAGCCTCACCAAACATCAAGTCCTATAAGCCCCTAGTTCACCCTGGCCCTGGCCACATGGTACACTGGGGAAGGGGACTATGGCAACCTCCTTTAGGTGTTCCCTCAGTCTAAGAATGCTCACGAGAGCTTGAGGTAAGAAGCTGGGGCAATGCCTATCATCAGCAGGGCCTGGGGTGGATGAGGCTCCTTCCTTGTCACAGGAAGCATTGAGGGAGAAGACAACAGGGCAGGAAGATGTGGGTGACACTGCTACCTGATGTTGTCAATCACAGGAGTCTCAAGGACACGGAAGAGCCGATGTTGCTGAGGGTTCTGTGGCCCTTTCTTCACTTCCCCCCGGGGTGAAGGTGGTGGAGAGAAGGGGGGAAACAAGTCTCCAGGCTCTAAGACAATGTGCTCGTCATCCTGCCGGCAGTGATGGGGCAAAAGGGCTCCATCAGAGTCTTTGGGGGGGCTGTTTTTGTTTTGTTTGTTTTTTGGGGGGGGTTTATTTTGGTCGTTTTGAGACAGGGTTTCCCTGTGGCCCCAGCTGGCCTGGAACTCACTATGTAGACCAGGCTGGCCTTGAACTCACAGAGATTCGCCTGTCTCTGCCTCCCGAGTGCTGGGATTAAAGGCATGCGCCACCACGCATGGCTTTCTTTTGCTCTTTTTGAGAAAGGGTCTCCCTGTAGCCCCGGATGGCCTGGAGCTCACTACGTAGACCATAGACCACGTTATCCTTGAACTCCCAGATATCCACTTGCCTCTGCCTCTCAAGTGCTGGGATTAAAGGTGTGTGCCCCCAACACCAGGAGGGTTTTGGTTTTTTATGATAATCTTACTACATAATCCACACTGGCCTCAAACTCTCAATCCTCCTGCCTCAGCCTCCCCAGCACTACAATTACAGACGTGTACTACCATGCCTGGCAAGGCCAATCTTCCTGGACATAGCCAGTTAAATAGAAATGGCTCCAAGGTCAGGGTCCATTCACTAGCAATTTAGCCTGTTGGGGGTGGGTTGTGTGGGACTTGGATTCCTAGCACTTAAAGATCCAGGAAACGACAGACCAGCAGGAAGAGGAAGAAGAGGGGGTTCTACCTCTGTCTACAAGCCCTTGTGAAGCCTCCCTGCTGGGCAGGAAGCTTCAAGATCCAACCCAGGGACTCCCAACTGCCTTCACATGTTCCCCAGCAATTTCTACTACCTTGATGCCCCGCAGAGAGGCAAAAGACTCCTGGCCAGGCCTCAGGGCTATGATGTCTCCTTCTACCAACAGGCTAACTGGCAGGTTTACCAGATGTCCATCTCTGTAGGCCCAGTGCAGGGACCAGGAAGGTGCAAAGGGCATATGGAGGTCTGGATACATGGCATTTGGCCACTTGATCTCCTTTCCATCCCTGAGAGTATCTGAGAGAACACAAAAATGGAGACAACAGCCCCAATATACACCTAGGCAGTGTTACCTGCTCTTCAGCCTTTTTCAGGTCTGCACAAGCTACTCTACACATTCAGATGCTTCTTCTGTTTCAATGATGTCTTCCCTAAGATTCCTCCACTGCAGCCTCCATCAGGCATCAAGTGCCAAGTATATTAACAAAGATCCAGCACTGTGGGAGGGGAGTACAGAAGGAGTAAACCTATCTGCCAGGCCATGAAAGATGACTTCCAAGAAGAAAGAGGATGTGAGATGGGCCGGGAAAAATGGGCAAAACTTTATCAGTTGGCAATAAGAAAGGAACAGCAATCCAGGTAGAGGTGAGCAGGACAGAGGCACTCAACAGGTTAAACAGGGGCTCTCGAACAGATCAGGGCTCATAATGGGAGGATGAACAGTAAGAGGAGAGAGTAAACAGTAAGATACAAGCTTGTGGCAGAGGCTCTGAGAAGCCACATGTGACATCTATGATGACCTGAAGGAACAAGAGGGAGCTGTAGGAGACATTTGTTGCCATAGACCTGGCTTGCTGGGTCCTGGACTGTTCATTTGTTGTTTGTATGGTTACTAGACAGTTAGGCCAACACTAATTTTTCCAGTCCTGCTTCTCTCCCTAAAGGTGCTGTGCTGTGTAGACAAGCAGGGGATCCTCTCATGACTAAATCCCAGTTAGAGACTATGCTACTATGCTCTTGAGCAAGGGACTAAGCTCCCAATGAGCAGGGCCCATCTTTCTTGGTCACCTCAGACTTCTAGTACCTTGCACTTGGTTGCAATTAATTAATCATTTCAAAATAAATGAACAAACTCTCACTTAGCACTTCACTATCTTTGCCCATTATTTTCAGAGAAAAACCTACTGAGAGCAGGTGGCGCTGCTTTTCTGACAATACCACATGCTCCTGGAAGCAGAAACCACAGTCTTTCAAGCAGCTTCATGTAACCTTTGGTTTACAGTCGGAGCATAATAAATGCCAGCTGGACAGCACAATGTGGGCAATGACCCTCTCCTTTAGAGATCTTCTTCTCTACTTTAGAAACTGGGCTGCTCATATTGAGCCCCTATCTCTCTGCTTAACCCTGTAGGCATCTTTGCTTCCCACTCCTCTGGCCCAATCCCGCCAGATAAGACAGACTTGAAAAAAGCTCCCAACTGCCCTCCTGCCAAGAGACAGAGTCTTCTCTGTCAGTCTCCCAACATTAGAGAGACCACAGTGCCACCATCAGCTTCCTGCCTGCCCAGACCACTGCCTGGTACCTACAGCCTTCCTGCAGCTCTTGCTGCCCTGCTTAAGAGGGCAGGGCCATCCACTAACCCCAGGGATGATAGCCTGGGTATCCTCTGACATTTCACAGGGCATCTTTCCGACTTTGGTCTGACTCAGTCTCACCTTGGATTTGGTCGATGATGCCCCGGAGCCTGCGCTCCACCTCTTGGCGCTTCAGCCGATCTTGCCGCCCAACGAGGATGAGATTGAGAAGCAGCAACAGGAACAGAGCAGAGGCGTTTACCAGCTCCACTCCATGGCTAGTGTTGAGAGAGGCAAAGAACAGCATGTATTTCCAGGGACTAAGGCCTCCCAGCCATCCCCCAGAACGCAAGATCCCCCTTCCCTCTGGTCTCTTCTGAAAGAAGTCTTGCCTGCTTCCTGACTCCAGTCAAGCCTTTGGCCCTGATTAAGGAAAAGGAGGCTCTTATATACCCAGATCAGGATGTGAGCAATTCAGGGGCAACAGCCCCTTCAGAACCCTGGGACATCCTGGGGGATGGAATAGAGCAGTTGCAGAAACTGTAGCTCCCTGCTTACCTCCCAGCAGGCTGGCCCCCATAGCAGCACAGCAGCAGCAACACAGCCAGCAGCATGAGAGAGGCCCCCGGCCAGTGGAAACAGGAACAGCGGTTATTGAGGTGCAGGAAGCTGCTCCTCCACATCTCCTATAGTGACATGGCAGGCAGGCAGTAAGCACCCCAACTGGCTCCAGTCTACCTCCTCACACATCCCGGCCTCCCCATATCCTGTGGCCAATGGGGTAGGACATTACTCTAAGGGAACTGGAACTTCTGACTTTGCAGAAAGTCTCAGTTGAGTCTTCTCTGACCAGTGGGACAAGGCATATGACATCCCTGAGACAAGCCCCCTCCCACCCCTGCTTCTCTTCCATCCCAGCCATGCCCTGGCCACCCCAGAGAAGCTTTACCTTCCACGTAAGACATTTCTTCTGCTCTTTGAGGTGTCTCTCCAACACAGCCTCCAGCTGTTCCTTCAGGACACTGAGAGCTTTCTGGGTAGACAGGCCCAGGGCCAAGGAAGGCTCGCCCTGAAGGGAAGCAGAAATGTTCAGCATCTCCCCAGGCCCCAGGTCCCTGCCCAGGCCTGCTGTCCATCATAGTGCAAGGCTCCTCCTCCTCCTCCCAATCCTCACTTTCCCTCCTCTACCACCAGCTCTTGCCCCTTGGTTTAACCATAGCCAAACCACGATGAATTCTAAAAATGTTCAAGGGTACAATAGATAGCCCTCTACTCTTTAAAGCCAAGTTAAAAACAAAAGCAGCTGGACATGATGGCACACGCCTTTAATCCCAGCACTCAGGAGGCAGAGGCAGGTGGATCTCTGTGAGTTCAAGGCCAGCCTGGTCTACATAGTGAGTTCTAGAACAGCTGGGGCTACAGGGAGACCCTGTCTCAAAAAAGACCAAAAAAAAAAAAGGCAATAAAAAAGCACTTTCCCAACTCATTCTACTCCTCTGACCCTCAAGCTATGACCATGGGCAGTCTCTCTGACCCATCAAACTGGTCTTGCTACCCACTCCCTACTTTACCTTGAGGGTCTTTCAGATTTCACAGACCAGAAAATACTCTGAAATACTAGTTATTAATTTTTCCTAGGGAAGACATTAAGAAACACTTAGGAAATCATGTGTGGTGGTGACACACCCCTTTAATTCCAGCACTTGGGCGGCAGAGTCAGATGGACCTCTGTGAGTTTGAAGCTAACCTGGTCTACATAACAAGTTCCAGGCCAGCCAAGGCTATGTAGTGAGACCCTGTCTCAAAAGACAAAACAAAGGGGCTGGAGAGATAGCTCAGCGGTTAAGAGCACTGATTGCTCTTGCAGAGGACCTAGGTTCAATTCCCAGCACCCACATGGAAGCTACGAACCGTCCTTAATTCCAGTTCCAGGGGAATCTGAAGCCCTCTTCTGACCTCCGCGGAATTGCACAACACAGGTGCACTCACATACATGCAGGCAACACACTCATACACATAAAATAAAAGTAATAAATAATCTTTTAAAAATATTTTTAAGGCTGAGCGTGGTGGCACACACCTTTAATCCCAGCACTTGGGAGGCAGAGGCAGGCAGATCTTTGTGAGTTCGAGGCCAGCCTGGTCTACATGGTGAGTTCCAGGACAGCTGGGGCTATAAGGAGACCCTGTCTCAAAAAGACAAAAAGAAAAACAACAACAACAACAAAAAGACAAAAGAAAAAGAAAAAGAAAGAAAAGAACAACTTAGGGCTGGCAAAATGGCTCAGCAGTAAAGCCAAGTGTTGCCAAGTCTGATGCCTGAGTTTAATCCCCAGGATCCCTGTGGTAGAAGGAAAAAACCAACTTCTACAAGTTGTAGCCTGACCTACACACACACACACACAGAGTGATAATTTTTTAAAAAAAATTTTAAAGGCTGGACGTGATAGCGTATACCTTTAATCACGACACTCAAGAGGCAGAGGCAGGTGGCAGATTATGTGAGACAGAAACTAGCCTGTCTTTAAAAAAAAAAAGCCGGGTGTGGTGGTGCACACCTGTAGTTCCAGTACTTGGGAGACAGAGGCAGGCGGATCTCTGTGAGTTCAAGGCCAGCCTGGTCTACGTAGTAAGTTCCAGGACAGCTGGGGCTACAGGGAAACCCTGTCTCAAAAAGACCAAAAAAAAAAAAAAAAAAAAAGAAAGAAAGAAAAACCTACCTCCTTCTATTACCACCATTTTGCAAGAGAGGATTTTGCAACACTAAAATATTAGGCAGGACATAATTACAGGAAAAAGGCAGCTGTTCTTAGGGAAAGACAATACTGTGACTCTATAATACCCATCATCACAGCTGGCCCTGGACAGTACCAGATGACATAAGGACCAGACAAATTATCTTGAGGGAACTTATGGCTGGGTCACTCTTTGTTGAGACCCGACCTTTCCTGTTTTCTTCGTCTGGGACTCCAACTGTTCTCCTTCCTTTCATCCCACAGCCCATCCTCCCCAACTGTCAGATGTTTCCAGGGAGACCTCTGCCACAGTTGTGAATTCACCTACCACCTATATGTTTTCAAGGCACACATTTCACTCCCAGCCTGGCCTTTGTCCCAGACACAGACCTGTCTACTGACCTGCCTCACAGCTGCTTCACAGGAAATGGAAGTGTGCCCCAAGCCCCTAATCTTCCCTAGTCCTCCCTACCAGAATCACTTCTCCATCCATATTACCACTACCGGGTGGTCACAATATCCCAGACCCTAGCCTTCCCCCTCTACACACTTACTCTTCCTTCTCACCCTTTTTTTTTTTTTTTTTTAGGTCTTTTTGAGACAGGATCTTCCTGTAGCCCCAGCTGACCTGGAACTCACTATGTATGTAGACCAGGCTAGCCTTGAACTCACAGAGATCCACCTGCCTCTGTCTCCTGAGTGCTGGGATTAAAGGACTGAGCCACCACACCCAGCCATTCTCACCCTATCTTTACCTTTTCCAAACCCACTGTAAGACCATAACCAGAGAAGGCATGCTTCATCAGCTGACCCCCTTTACTTTAAAATTTGTGTTTGTGTGTCTGTGTCTGTGTATTCGTGTGCATGCAAATGGTACATATGTGGAGGTCAGGAAAACTTTCAAGAGTTGGTTCTCTCCTTCTATTATGTGGGTCCTGGGAATCAAACTCAGGTCACCAGGCTTGGTGGCAAGTACCTTTACCAGCTGAGCCATCTCTCTGACTTCTTCTCCTTTACCTTTAAAACCTACTCCAGACCTCTGTGCCTGCTCTGTGAGGCCCTAGGGTCCTGTGACTTCCCACTTCCCCCTGCTGTTCCTTCTGTACTTCCTGGCCAAGGACATTTGCCACCAGACAACTCTTACTCCTTCAAGACAGCTCAGACATCACCTCCTCTGGGAGGGACATTTTCTTAAAACCCAGTGCTGCACTTTAGAGGGAGGTTTGTATTCCAATAGCACCAAGGCAACCTGGCTCTCAGCCTGCAACTTACAGAACTGATTCTAGATTTTCATGTCTGGCTCTCCTACTAGACTTAGTTCTTTGAAAAAAGGTAACGAATTCTTTTCTCTCTACAAGCCATCACCACTGAATCACGAAGGATGGTTACTGGGTACACACAAGCTCATGAATACCTGCTGAATGAATGTGCAAGTAGTTTCACTGATCCAGGGACACCTTCGTCAGGGATGTCAACCCCAAACCTGCAGCAGCATCCATAGCTTTTTAAAAAGGTGCATGACCAGGCACCACCCTAGCACTGCAACGTAACTTCTGGGATGAAGCTGGTATTGGGGTAAATCTGTTAGACCACCAGCTGTACAATGATAAGGCAAAGAATGGGCCCAAGAAATGGAGTGCCTGAAGGAGCAACAAGTCTTTCCCAGGGGCTACACAAAGTGCTTCCATGTGGTTTCCATCAGAAAAAGCTCTCAAGCAAAAGCTGTGAATTCTTAGAACTGAGACATCAAGAAAAAGGACTCAAGGCTGTCCACCAAGGAATCCTGAGGAGCCACAGGACCACACTCACCAAGTTTCATGAACTCCTTGCCTTCTGCTCTGTTCCAATGCCCCTCCCCACCCCAGCCCCATTTTGTCCCTTGCAGGGATCTGCTCTGGCTTTGCCTATTGACTGAACTTCTCTTCCCTGCCTAGCTCCAAAGATCTCTCTCTCCTTGGCTATTTGGCCTCAGCCCTGGCAGCAGACATACCTCCATGACTCTGAGAGGGGCTCTGAGGCCTGAAAGAACAGGGTCTCAGTGCCACATAACTTGAATTGTGAGGCACACATGAAAGAGAGCCCCCCGTTGCCTACCATTGGCTGCCTCAGCTTCTACAGTGGGCTCACCCCAAGATTCTTGGCTTCCTTGCCTAACTCATCTAATCCCACTCTCCATGGTGACTTTAATAAATTAAAGAGATAAGAGGTTCTTCCCAGAGGGGATAAACTAGTTATTTCAGCTTATAAAGAGATGGCCTCCAGGCAGGGGGCCCACAGCCCAGCCTGGGTAAATACTGCACGCCCAAGCATCCAACTCCCTTCAGTAGGATCCTGGGCCTCCCAGAAGCCAGAGTCCAAAACAAACAAAAAGGCTCAGTGAGGCTAGGGTCTATCATGCAATCTCCTAGAAGGGATGAGACCTTCAGGGGGGGCTCTAAGGAGGGAAGACAAAGGGCTATAAAGGGCTGGGCCAAAGTGGTTGTGCCAGTTCCTCCCCACCAAAAGAAGAGGACCTGGGGCCAGAGCAAGAAGCCTGGGCCCCTAGCACCTTCCCTCACACTACTCCTGCTCCACTTGGACTCAGTTTTCCTGGCTTACTCTCTCTCCTTCCTGGGATGGACAGGATGCTTGGACCATGCCTTCAAAACTGAAGATGTGGGAAGGGCTGGCTAGAAAGGGTAAGGGCTCCATGTTTAAGAGATGGGAACTGGGAAGGAAAAAGGAAGAGCCTGGCAAACCACAGGACTGTATGGTTACCTGGGAAGCTGCTGGGCCTGGACCTAGGACCTCATGCCCAGGAAAGAACAGTTCCCTGAGACAGAAAAAAAGGCTATGACGAGAAACTAGAGAACCGGGGAAGCATGCCTCCTCCAGCCAGGCCAGCAGACTTTAGGCACTCACTGGCTCCCCTGGGCTGCACCATGGCCAACCTGACATCTGCTGCCTTCTTGACAGACCCATGTGCAAGACTCCCTTGCTCATCAGCCATCACTTGCTCTCTTGCTCTCCCAGCCCTGGGTACTCTGTGTCTCTCCAGGTTGGAAGGCATGGCCAGAGGGTAGCAGATGCTCCTGGAGCAGGACATTCGTAGAGCTGTCTGTGTGAGTCTGCCCCCACATGCATGTTGTGTCTGGCTAGGGGCACCAACTCCAGACAGGGGATTAAAGACAGCACAGCAGAGGGAAAATAAGCCATTCTGTAATTACATGTTGCCCGAAGGAAGTGCCCGCCCACACAGGCTGGCCCTGTGGCAAGGACTCAGCCTTCTGAGCCAGCCTACTCTCCACAAGCTTCTACTGTGCTGACCCAAATGCTAACTAAGCCTGTTTGGCTCACCCCTCTGTGGTAAGAGGGCCTGAGTTAAGGGTCAAATCTCTGTTTATCCTCATCGTGTTTTAGCTTTCCCCCACATGACAGAAGAGCTCTAGCTACAGTGCTCACTGGAAGATTAGTACTTTCTGAAGGAGACTCAGAATGGGTTGGCAGAAAACAGACACAGTCACTCTTCTCCACACAGAATTAGATAGGCTACCCCATGTGCCTAGCACCCTTGGATAGACTGCAGCAAGTTCCTTTTCTCTGAGAAATCAATAGCCAAAGTCAACAGTCACAGTCGAAAGTCTGCTTCTCTTGCCCACTGAGGTCAAGAAGGGTGAAGAAAATTCTGATATGCCTTAATTAAATTCCCAAAGCTAACAAGAGATTTCTATTTCCCACATGCTAAAAACTCCCACTTTACCCTGCTGCTGGCCCCTCTAGAGACAGTCTTGGGACCAGGAGTGAGGCCTCTACCCCAGATAGACTAGGAAAGGAGGATACTGAAGACTTTCAGGCAGAACCAGTCACAGCCCACTATTGTAAGTGCTCAGAAACTGGAGCCAAGGGGAGAACAGCTTGAAGTAGAAGGGCATTCTTAACTCAGGGGAGGCTGTATGCTACTGCAAGCCGGGTTGGCTCTCTGTTCCATCATTCAAGGGGAACACCAACAAGACATGGCATTTTGGGGAAATGAGGGCAAAAGGACTCTGCCTGCCAAATCACAAATAGGAATCTGCCTCTGAGCAGGACCCATTGTCAAAGTACATAACTAAGCATCAGACGGTCCAATGACCCTTTCAAGAACTGATGCACCTGAGCTCCCCTGCACCTACCTTACCCAGAAATTTCCAACATCCCCCTCCCCGGCCCAATTCCTTGCAGAACACTCTGAGGTTCTCTGTATGGTGACTGTTCATCTTCTTATTTCATCTGTTTCAGAAAGAGCAGAATCAAGGCTCTGCTCTCAGGTAGACAAGTCACAAATTTAGACCTTGACTCATAGCCTTGATGGCAGATGACCACTAGCTATAATTGGCTGGAGCCCCTTCTCTAGGTCCCCCATCACAGCTGCTTTCATAAGTACAGGCAGAGAGGACCCAAAGTTGAACTCAGCACAAACCCAAGTCACTGAACTACACTCAGCCACTACCCAGGTTCTGAGTTGGCCAGGCACATCTGGACTCATCTGCAGCCAGGTGAATTAGAGGCCGAGGACAGCTGCTCGGTCTTCTCCCTTATTCTTAAAAGCTCCTACAGAGCTCAGCACTTTCACATACCTGTTTCCCCAAAGCCTAGAAGAAACCATCCCAACCCTGACTCCTGACTCAGTTACCCAAGAAATACAGCAGAAAAAAAGTCCCGTCACCACAGAGGCACTCCAGAGTTTTTGTCACTTATGCATGAAGCCTTGGGTCCTAGCATCCTTTGGCAGGATGGCCCTCTGGGAAACTCAATCCCCAGGACTGCTCTGGGTAACTTGAACACCTGGCTAGCAGTTCCAAGATATGCTAGCTTTCTGGATTTCGGTCCCAATATCCTCTAAAACCCTGGTTACCTCAGGCTCATTCCAGCTGCCTCCTATTCTGCAAGATCTTCAGGACTCCTCTGGCAACCACTAACTCAGAAACTCCCTCATAAGCAGAAAAGGAGACATTGTTAGACTGTGAAAGTCAAGCTGGCATACTCACTGTGCTGTGCTTGCCCTGGTGGGACATCCATAGCTCTGCCTGCTTGAAGAGCATGGGGCAGAGCCTGTGGGACAAGCAGTCAGGTATAGTAACTTCCAACACTACCCTCAAGGACAGAGGGAGAAACAGAACAGAGGGAGAAAGGAGAGTATGAAAGGAAGGGAGAAAAGGGGAGAGGGCTGGAACGTGAGTGAGCGAGAAGCCGGTACTGCAGAGAATTGGTCACAGCAGTGCCGAGCTTCAATCTGCTGATTAATTCAGCCTATTTCCAGTCACACTGCAGATTCAGGGAGGGAGGAGGAGGAGGAGGAGGCGGAGGCAGAGGCAGCAGGCTGCAACTGCAACCCTGAGAGGGAGGGAGGCAGAGAAGGAGGGAGGGGAGAGAGCGAGAGGGAGGAGGCAGGTGAAGAATGGAGAGATGAAGGCAAAAGTTTGTCCATACTCTGTCAGGTGTCCAACAGTTCGGTCCTTTAGAGAGGCCAGTGCAGGGTGAGCAGGGAGGAGAGATGCAGCTAGAGGATAGCCAAGATGGACAGAGGGACACATGGACAGACAAGAGAAGCTGCCACGTGCTTGGAGTCCCAGGGCAAATGCTGGCTACCCAGGAGTACCCTAGGGGACATACTGGCTTTCTTCACAGACTACTTTTCCACTGCCCCCAGGTCACTAGATGAGGTTAGGCACCCCACTGTGGCTTAGCCCATCACCCACCAGAGCTCCCCAATACTCCCATCACTCAGAGCATGGAGCTCCACCAACAGCAACTCTTTCCACAGTAAGAACTGCCGGAAGGTAGGGAGAGAACCGGAGCCTTATTAATAGCAGCACGTCCTGCAAGGAGGGGGAGGACTGGCCAGCAGGGACTCCAGCAGGGACTCCTAGGAGGCCAAGGGTTCTGGTGGAAGGAAGAAATCAGTGGCAAGCCAGCTAAAAGAAAGGGCTTCAGAGGTTTTCAATACCTTCTCTCCAGGTGGACAGAGATCCCAAAGACTGCTGATTCATGAAGGGAAGAGCTGCATTTAGACACACCAGCTCATGAGCTATGGGGACCAGGTGGGTAACACCTGGCTCTCACTGTCCCAAGCAAAAAGAGGAGGCTAGTTACCTGGGGCACCCCCCTCAGCATTTCTAGGAGCATCAGCAGGGCCTGGCAACTAGGGGCTCTAAAAACGCGGCTCTAGGACTCCAGTTTGTCACAAAGGAAGTTGTCAGCACAGACCCTCTGGGTGAAGGAGGAGTCAAGTCACTGACAGGGGACTGGTCATTTCTCTTCTGGTGGACAGACCATCCTCAGGATAGGGATACAACACCCCAGGGAGTGAGACCAGTTTAATGGGTCCCTTGGCTAGAAAGTCTAGAGAGCAGGCTGGAGGCTGAGCTTGTTTCTCCAGGGTCCTTTGTCTCCTGGACAACACCATCTCCAGCAGCAGGGAGTGAAGAGAGAACCTCCCAGCACAAGCCAGCTTCTCCCCTCCCCCTAGCTGGCCTGTATAGCTCCAGGGGCGTGGAGGGTGGGGGTGGGGGGGTATTTGCTGCCAAATGGTTAAATGCTGAAAGGAGGGGCTGGGCAGTCCAGAGGTTAAAGGCAGGAAGTCTCAGCTGGGAGCAGGAAGGAGGGGTGGGCGGGGTCAGTTTCCCTGCCAGTCACTAGGACTGTCAGCTCTAGTCAAAGAGAAAGACCCCTGGTCCCTCTGTCCTCAGTTCCGGAAGGTACTGCTAGGGTGGGAACCAGCTAACCAAAGGTCTCCCAGCTCTGCGGCAGGCCTTAGGAGGGCTAGGGCTACCCTGGGTGTGGTTCAGACACAGCATAGTCCTTTCCTTTTTCCATCTACTTCCCACACTACCCACTTCAGTGATGGGCAAATAGAGCCCTGCATCTCAGAAACAGGAGCCCGAGCTGTTACTGCTACAGCTCATCAACTGTGGGCTTCAAGACAGGCTGAGAACTGGAAAGAGAGGGCAGGATGCCAAAAATCAGCCAGCCACAGCCAAACCAATCCTGGGTTGAGCCAGCGACCATAGATTACCTGAACAACAATGGTCACCACACCAGCTCTTCCTAATCCATTTTCCCTGAGAAGCTTTCTAAGTTCTAGGCTACAGGCACCTTTCAAAGCCCAGTGTACCATTGAAAAGATCTTTGCTGTGCTGGCGAGATGGCTCAAGTGGGTAAAAGCACTTGCCACACAAGGTTGACAAACGTGAATTTGATCCCCAAACCTATGTAAAGGTGGCAGGAAAGAACCAACTCCAAAAGTTGTCTTCTGACCTCCACAAGTATGCCTTAGCACATGTGCCTATACACACATTAATAATAAAAGTCTTTGCACAGGTAGAAACCCCAAAGGGCTCTATTACTGAACTGACTATGCCATCCTCTACAATCAGGAGCCACTGTCCCAGCACTCTGACAACCTAAGGCCAATGTTCCATAAATATGGCTGCTGGTTATGGCAACATGACTTTCTAGTTCAGGACTCATATATCCAGAAATTCCTCAAGGAAAATGGCCTGGTGAGCAGAGACAGAGGTTTATTAGTAGATAGTGCAGAAACCAGGCAAGATACAGGGCTTCCTGGGAACAGGCTTTGCCATGGGATGGGACTAGACTAATTCCATACAAAGACTGCACCTGATAGTTCCTGAATTTGCAGTTCTCCTGCCTCAGCCTCTTGAATAGCTGGGATTAAAGACCTGCGCCACTAGGCACAGCTCAACCTGGCTGATTAAAGCAGCTGTGTTTGGAATCTGATGAGGCGCTCAGCCCTAACCACAGACAGGGTGCCCAACAGTCCTCAGCATGGCTCAGCAGGTTGGGGCACAGCCCTAAAATAGGGCAAACAAACTAAATTACACACCCCTGGGCAAGACTGGCTTGGGATCAAACCCAATCAGAAAGCCTGCTGTCAATGCAATGTGTTAAGTAGGCAGCCCTTAACCCTACATTCTTCCCAGCCAAGCAATACTAACCTCTGAGAAAGGGTCTTGGTCATATCCAAGCAAGCCTCAGAGACACACACACACACATACACACAAACACCCTTACATTCAGGGTAAAGTCCCAGTTGAAGACCACCCAGCAAACCCAGGTGAAGAGAGTCCAACAGAGACGCCCCCACAACAGCCATACAGCAACAGAGGAGGGCCCACCAGATGCTTCTCCTTCAGGTCCATGGGCCCAGGGTACTTCAGACATGCCCAGATGAACACCGTCACCCCCGGAAGGAAGGTTCCTCCCCAACATGGACAAACCCTAGTGAGTCTGTCACACTCACAGCATCTGGGAAAAAAGAAAGAAATCCCTTAAGTAAGGTTACAGGTCTAGGTTACTACTATGCAATATAAGTCTCAACTAAGCCACAGAGCGAATGGGGGAAAGAACTGGTCCCACTAGCCACTATGACCCTGCTGGCCTGACCCTGCCGCAGCACTGCCTCAAGTAGACAGCCTTGGATGAGTTCCACTCTGAGAAGTCAGCAGGGAGCTAGCTCCAGGGGGGCCTCTGGGGGACTCGCGCTCCCTCTTTCAGCCTTTATCTTTAGAGGTACACTATGTTCTGTTGTGCACTCTGTTCCTCACTGACTTCAACGAACAGGAAAAGCTGCGACTTAGCAGTCTTTGTTTTTTTTTGTTTTTGAAATAGGGTCTCCCCAAAGCCCCAGCTGGCCTGGAACTTACTATGTAGACCAGGCTGGACTGGATCTCACAGAGATCTGCCTGCCTCTGCATCAGTGCTAGGATTAAAGATGTGTGCCACTACACCTGGCATTATTGGCATTTCTTAAAGTTTGGGTTAAAGTTAACATTAAGGTCATCTGGAGTCTAGATGCCAATCAAATAATCAGGGAACAGCAGGACAGCAGGAGGCGAGTAGAAAAAGAGACATGACAGAAGCAGGCACTCTATACTGAGGAACAAACACCACGCCTGCCAGTACACACATGCCCACAGGCCCTCTGAGCCTCTTGAGTGGGTGACAGGCTCCTGGGCAGAGGTCTGCAAGGATAAGCAAGCCAATTTGACAACCAGTATGACAAAAGTCAATTATCTGGAAAAGCAATTATCCCAGGGGCTAGAGTGTAGCTCTGTGATACAACACATGCTTAGCATGTGAGATGCCATGGGCTAGATCCTCAGCACCAATATACATACCTCCTACCTGCCTGAGCCCCAACCCAAGCCATTCATCCTGGCAGCGACACAACTTTCAGGGTCTCAGATCAGGGCATGTTCTCAGTAAAAAGTGACACTGATAGCCGGGCGTGGTGGCGCATACCTTTAATCCCAGCACTCAGGAGGCAGAGGCAGGCAGATCTCTGTGAGTTCCAGGCCAGCCTGGTCTCCATTGCTAATCCAGGCCAGCTAGGGCTACAGGGAGACCCTGTCTCAAAAAAAAAAAAGGGACACTGAGTAATCTGGTTTGGTGCCAGGTGACTCCTCTTTAGAAAGCACTAACCTGCTGATTAGGGCAGTTCTTTCTGGGGCCTGTAGCCAACCTCATTAGGAGGAATCAGTCAAAAGCCCAGGAGAGCTGACCCATAAAAGAGCTGTGGAGAAACAATTAAAAATCTATGTCCAGAGGGCCAGCCAGGAGGCTCAGGTCTGCAGTCACCACCTCCACTCCAAAATCCCACCCAGTTCCTCCAGGCAGCACCAGTGCTGATGTCACCAGCCATGCTGCCAAGATTCTCCCTACCCTTTCCTTTCAGTCAGGACCTTCAAAGCTGAGCCAGCCCCGCAGGGTCAAAGATAGTGACGCTAGAAGTGGCCTTGTAAAGCAATGACATTTGGTCTTTGGCAGCCAACTGAAATGGGACCCTGAGAGGGTAAACCACTCCTCCCCAAGGCCACTCTCTGACTAGGCAGCCTGGGCCCTGTTTACAGCTATGGTTGAGATCCCCATGACACACCATCCCAGCAGGGGCTGAATGAGGTATCTGCCACACAGGGAAAGGCACCAGGAGCCAGCTGGGGATTGTGCCTGTTAACTTCTTCCACCAGTATGACAAGAGTGAAATTACTGTGGCCAGCTGGAACCACAGCAGAGCAGAGGGCAGCCAGGAACAAGACATTTTCTAAGAGTCTCTGTATTCCCATCATTCCATACATGAGATTCTGGGAGAAAAATGTTCTTACCGGCTGACCTGAAACCAGGAGCAAAATCCTTAAAGGGCCAACTCTGCCTACAGCGCACTGAGAAAAAAAAGCATGGGCTTCAAAGCCAAATACCTGTGGGTTCAACTCCTGGCTCCAATATGTATCAAATACTGAATGCTCTTGGTAAATTATTTGTCCTTTTTAGCTTCTATTCCTTGTTCTTAGAATAGAAATAGCAATACCTATTTCACAGAGGCACTCTGAAAACAGTGTAAAATGGTACATGCAGTGGGCCTAGCACAATATTTGACACCTAGTAGGTACTCAATAAATAACTGCCATTACTAGCATTAGCAAACAAGAAATGTCAATCAAGTACCACCTAAATCAGGAAGAAGGATAGAAGGGCTAGCAAGATGGCTCAATGGGCAAAACTCCTGCTGCCAGGCTAAATGATCTGAGTTCAATCCCTGGGAGCCAGGAGTAGAAGGCAAGAACCAGCACCTGCAAGTTGTCCCCTGACCTCCACATGTGCACTTGGCACATGCACAAGACAGAGGGAGGGAGGGAGGGAGGGGGGAGGGAGGGAGAGAGGGAGGCTCAAAAGTAAAGTGGAAGGAAAGGAACTGGGGAAATGGGAGGGTACAGAAGTACAGAGACTAAAACAAGCAAGACTGTCCCCCTTTAGAGACCAAATAACAGTATCCAAAACATTCTAGGGAATCTACATAATACTAGAACAAAGAAAAGGGCAAGGATGCAAGGTCAAAGTGCAAACACAAATTCTATTTCCAGTACCTGTGAGACGGTTCAGTGGGTGAGGGCACTTGCTGCCAAACCTGATGACCTGAATTCAATCCCGGGGACCCATGTGGTAGGTGAGAATTGACTCCTGCAAGCTCTCCTCTGACCTCCACATGCACACTATGGCATGCATACACACACAAAAACACACAAAAATAAATGAAATTTTTTTTCAAACAGGGATGTTGGAGGAATGGCTCAGTAATTAAGAGCATTTGCTGCTCTTCTAGAAGACCCGGGTTCAATTCCTAGCACCCACATGAAGCAGAGGCTCACAGCTGCCTGGAACTCTAGTTCCAGGGGATCTAACTCCTGGGATCCACAGGCACTACATGCACATGGTGCATATCCATAGAACTCAGGCACACACACATGTACATTAAATAAGTAAATAAATAAGTAAATCTTTTTTAAAAAACAAACAAACAAACAAAAACAGGACTGGGGAGATGGCTCACACATGTGAGGACTGGAGTTTGGATCCCCAGCACGAGCTTAAATGCTGGGTAGGGGCACAGCAGTGCACCTGTATTTCCAGCATTTGGGAGGTGGGTGGGATCCTCAGAGCAAGCTGGCCAGCTTGATAAGCCAAATCAGCAGGTTCTGTGAGAGCCTCTACCCCAATATATAAGGGGGACAGTAACTGAAGAAGACACTCAGCATCAACCTTGGGCCTCTACACACATTCACAAAGCACTTACTTGTGTCCATATACATGAGAACACACATGCACCCATGCACCCCCCCACATATATATGCGAAAAGTTACTATTCATTTTATTCAAGATAGCCAAAAACCAGAAATAATTCAAATGTCCATTTACAGGAAAATGGATGAAAAAATTCAGTCCATTGCTATTGTGGAATTTGACCCCATAGTAAAACACAATTAAGTATTAATACACATAATAAAACTGAATCTCAAAAATGATTCCTGTGGGAAAGAAGCAGACACAAAAGAGTTTCTAGTCTATGATTCCATCTAGGTATATAAAATTTAGAACAAGGCTGGCGATACAGCTCAGTAGGTAAAAGCACTGGCCCCAAGCCTGATGATCTGAGTTTCATCCCTGGGGCCCACATGGTGAAAAGAGAGAATCGACTCCTGCAAGTTGTCCTTTGATCTCCAGACATGTACCATGGCACCCGCACGCATGTGTGCACACACACACATGTGCACATATTCACACACACGCACACATTCACACACATACACATATTAAACAAATGTAAAAAATAATAATAGGGGTTGGAGAGATGGCTCAGGAATTAGGAGCACTTACTACTCTTGCAGAGGACAAGAATTCAGTTCCCAGCACCCACATGGTGGCTAACAATCATCTGTAACTCCAGGCCCCCCTTCTGGCCTCCATAGGCACTGCACACATGTGGTGCATTTACATACATGCAGGTAAACACTCATATACACACACACACACATGCATGCACACACACAAAAATAAATACATTTTAAAAGGTGGAATCTAAGGTGAACTAAGTCAGCTCAATGAACTTCTAAAATGCCTAGCATATGCTAAGGGGATCTGGGAAATACAAAGGAGAGGAAAGGGTCAATGAGGGAGACATTTTCCTAGTACTGACCATGTGTAACACTATACTAGATGCTAGAGTTTGAACCTAAAGTATGCCTCAGAGGCTTGCATGTTAGACTTTGCTATCGTGCTCTGACTGTTCGGAGGTGTTACAACCTTCATGAGGTAAGGCCTAGTGAGAGGAAGTAAGGTCATTGGAGGCACATACTTAAAGGGGCTATTCAACCTGGGCTTCAGTATGTCCCTCTCCTTGCTCCCTGGCTGCCAACGCAGCCTCCTCCACCATATGCTTCTTCCATGCTGCAAGGTGCCATCACAAGTCCAAAGCTACAGGATCAAATGACCATAGATTGAAATTTCTGAAACCACAAGCCAAAGCAACTGTAAATGATTAATAAAGGAGGTTAACGAGTGACTATTTTCAAAATATATTAAGTTTCTTTCTGGGACTGGAGAGATGACTCAGCAGTTAAGAGCACTGGCTGCTCTTGAAGAGGACCCAGGTTTGATTCCCAGCACTTACACGGTGGCTAACAACCACAACTCCAGTTCTAGGGGAATCTGACACCCTCTTTTGACCTCTGAGGGCACTGCAGGACACGAGTGCACTTACATACATGCAGGCAATACGCTCATACACATAAAATAAAAAATAATAAAATATAGGGGTTGGGGATTTAGCTCAATGGTAGAGCGCTTGCCTAGCAAGCGCAAGGCCCTGGGTTTTGTTCTCAGCTCCGAGAGAAAAAAAAAAAGACAAAATAGAAAATAATAAAACAGGCCGGGCGTGGTGACGCACACCTTTACTCTCAGCACTCAGGAGGCA